TATCTAATGGTCAGAAATCTAATGCAGGTGAGATGTAAATACACATATTTGAATTAATGAGAACCTCTGTTTTCTCCAGGGATAAAAAATGACAAAATATTGGTTTCTGGCAGCACACATGGCAGTAAAAGTCTACTTGGAACTGTGCAGGGCTGTTATCCCAACTCACAGCCCTATGTGTGCAGCAAAAGGCTACCCCTAGGAGAGTATCTGCAAAAATGTTTTGTTTTCGGATATGTCCCTGGAGATTCCATGTGACCAACAAGTGATATATGTACATCACTCAGTGCCTCATCAATGGCTGCCTCGCAGCTGAATTCATGAGTGGTCTCTGTCACAAGACCTAGAGTAGGAGGTGAGATGAAGTGAGATGTCAGCTGTTTAGCCTAATTGATTTAGTCATAGTTGTGTTACACATACATGCCATATATTGGCCATAGGCATTAACAGATGCATGAATGAGCATAATCTTATCCATGTCTTTTTCTCCTGTTCCATTTTATTTCATTAAAAAAGATTAAAATGTACACATCCTGCAAACATGCAAATGAGTGAAAAACAAATCATGTGAATGTTTATTTCGGGGATAAACTTTAATTCAGTAGTAGAGCACATTTTTGATACACAGAAAGTCAATTTCATCTCTAGTTTTTTAAAATAAAAGAGGTCGTAAGTGCTTTTATTTGTACATTGACCTGTATTTTTACAGCCTTCACTGGAATACCCAGTGTGGTGTAGTGAATAGAGTAACAGGAGACGGGCTTCTAATCCCTGCTTGGCCGTGGAAACCCATTGGGGGAGTGGCACTGGTAAAACTACTCCTCACTTACCTTGAAAAGTCTATTATGGTTGGTAATAAGACAGTTCCAATTTGATGGCACATAAGACACATTCAGCCCCGCCCCTCTAGACCATGTCTACTAATAGACCATGTCTATTATGGCACATAAGACACATTCAATTAGGACAGTTTATAGAAAAATGAGAATAAGAACGTTTGTCCTTACTGGTGCATTTCAGAATAGACAGTCCTGGGCTAGATGTACAAATAGTCTGAGGCAAGTATTCAGGTGTGGGTTTCTAAAGATTTAGGGCTAAGTCCAGTTGTTAGTGTCAAGTAGAGTAAGCCGACTGAATCAATAAGATTTCAGTGAGTCCTGTTGATTCAATACATCTAGTTTGGTAGAGACTGCAATGGGATTAAGGCTTAAAGTCTTTAAAAAGGCAAAAACAATATTAATTGGTATAGTTTAGAAAACATTTAAATGTCTATAATACACACAAAGCACAACATTGGGGCTTTTGTGGGTGTAGAATTCGACTTTCTGGCACAAACTCTGAATGGTACAAGAAAATACTGTGCAGTTCAGAATTGCTAACCAAGGAAAAGAGGAGAGAGTTATTGGCTAATGAAAGCCTTGTTTTATTGTTGCAAGTTCTGGTGACACAAAGTTGGCAGTTCACTCTTCCTTCCTTTCTTTCTTTTAGCAGTGCACTTCAGGTTCCCAATTTGACCTTCAAAGCAACTCAGTAAAACAGATTAGCCTGACAGATACAGCTTGGCTTAAGATCATACAGTGAGCTTCGTAGATTGGTCAGGAATGGATTTAAATGTACCTCTCGAAGTTGAGTATTCTGGACCAGGCCAATGCTGTCTCCACTACAAAGCAGCAGAGATGAAACCACAGCCTTTTTGGACTATGTCTCCCATAATACTTCCACCAGCATGCCCACAGTTGCATGTTCGGACTATAAATTTCCATTTATTTATTTTTTTGACAGTTAACTACCAAGGCTGGAATGATACCCCTTGCTTGAAATGTGACCCTGTGAACGTTTACGTAATTTGTGCCTCACTGTGCTTTAAAACAGTACTCATTTAAATGCAATTGGGCTTCCACTAGATGAGAGGACCCTAGCATTTTCTCTGCACTTGAAAGAAGGCTGCCCTTCCTCTTCTGCAAGTCTTGCTTGTCCTGCAGGCGTTGGGCAGCAGTAGCTGGGGAGCATAGAGACAGCACAAGTGGCAGAGGAGAGGCATCTTTGATGACCTGGGATACTTCTCCTGCCACCGCCACTGCCAACATGGACTCTGCAGCTACCGCCATCCAGCTGCCTGCTGGACAAGCAGGCCCTGCAGAGGAGGAAGGGCTGCCTGTTGTACGTACAACAAAAACAGAGCCACCGAAGCTGATTTGTGGGCAAAAGCAGCATTGCTCGGCAGCCAGTGCTGGCAGGCTTACCGGCTACTTTGGCACTGGATGGTTAGCAGTGTTTTTGCCAGAGAGAGACGTCAGTGTTTCCATTTTCTCCACATTAAAACATCTGTGTAACAGGACAATCTTGGCTTCGGTATGCAAATAATCTGCAGTAAAAAAAAAAACTATTGTGGCTTATCTACAACATGTAGCTCCAGCTCCAGAATATCTTTGGGAACTCTCTTGTCGGAATCATAAACCCCCAAATTTTCTAGCTAACAGGACCACTGATCACACTTGCATTGGTATTCTGTGAGTTGTACTGGAAAAAAGTAACATATCCTATCTCTGTACAGTAAAAAAAAATCACCTTTTCCATTTTGTTCTTTTCATTTATAAGGTAAATTTTAAAAGAATAACTGAAATTAAAATAACAGAATAAGATGCAAATGTATGGAAGACGTGGAAGAGAATTCTTACTGTTTCTTGATGTCATCAAACGATGTCACCAAACAAATGTATATCTTGCAAATAATTGGTACTACCTTTGGACAAACAGCCTTTAACAAGTAGCAGACATCTGTATATATGTGTGGGTCTGCATGTGTGTAAGAGAAATTACAAAACTTGTGTGCAATCTCTAAGCGCAAATTTGAAAATGTGTGCAACTACATTTGAACAGTTTCATTTTGTTTGCTTTGACCAACCTTCTGGATGTTACATGTCTTGGTATTTCTACTTCACTGCTAGAAATAGTTTTTCCTTAGCACATTGAGTTCTCCGTCTTGTTACCTCAAGAAGTAGTCTTGGAAAACATATCATTCTGCAGGTTTGCTTTGCTTAACTATTTATTGTAGGTCCTTTATTTTAGGGGTAGAGGCTCCTTCAACAATTTGTATATAACCTTTCAAACTACACTGATCTGATGCAGAATTGATGGGGTTATTTCTGGACTAGGGGTGCAACGGGATTGCAGAATATGTGGGAAATGCTGAAGGTCTGGGACTGGGTAATTTGCATTTTTTTCTGACCACATAACATAAAAGGAAATGCATTTCAGCATAGAGTTTTTCCCCACAATCCATAATTTTTGCCTCTGCGGCTTCTAATTTTGAGGGATCAGATCTATTTGCATCAGTGTGATTGCTTGGACTGGTGCAGATACGTGTGTGCTTGTGGTTTGCCTGATAGTGTGGCAGATGGAGGGGCAAAGATCCAGTCTGGGAAGACTAGATCTTTGAAAATATAGTGGGCCCCCGTATCTATGGGATATCAGTTCCAAGCTCCTCACAAATGCCAAAAAATGAAGTTAATAGTGAATCCTATACATAACATGGTATTTAATTCCCTATAATGGCTAGTTCTGGTAACTACATCATGGAAATATGCATTTCTGGGTTTCTGTCTCTCTCTCTCTCTCTCTCTCTCTCTCTCTCTGGGGATGCCGATTCTGTGGATACAGTGGTCCTATTGTATATTATTTTTAAAGGGCTTGATGTTATTGTACTACTGTTGTACTTGGGAACCTAGACACCAAAAGGAAGGAAGGAAGGAATAGAGACTAGGAGGAGGAAATTACCATACAACTCTTGTTTACAGATTATTAAGTAATTCCCTCATAACCGCGCTCCTGTAAGGCTACAAGTGAACTATCTTAAGCTGGAAATAAGCTGCAAACAAGACTGTCAGTTAATTTCTTCCTCTCTCCCTGTGTGGCCTGTGTAACATGAACAGACTCAAGGAAACCCAAATTCCCTAGTACAGTTTCACAGCAAGTGAATTCATATATCTCTCACTGTGTAGTTGCAGCCTAGGAGAGGTTTCCGAACCCAGGTATCTTTTTGTAGCTCTTCTCAGCAACAAATTATCTTCTGACATTAGCCAATTTAAGAGGCATATGGGTTGCTTAAATGGATTCAGACTCCAAGGTAGGAGTATGTGTTTTTGTAGGTCATTCAGTCTTTTAGATTTATTTTAGGGATTGGTCTCATTCTGTCTGCACACCCCTGGAATTACTGACTCTTCTGTCAAATAGGTGTGTGGATAACAAAGTTGTAGGATTCCTTAAAGGAAGCATGGGTTAGAACTATAATGAAGAAATATTTTTATGTAACAGGCCTTGAATCATAGAACTAGCATGGTAAAATTGTAGTCTTGGGAAACAAAGCAGAAAGCAAGGCGTCCTGCTTATGTACCACCCCATAGTTCTTAAAGCATTCTATGGTTGACTTACAGTTTTAATTATGCAAGCTACACATTGCAATGAAAGGACGTTGGTGATCATCTAATCCAGTCTACAATCCAGCATGCAACTGCAGCATCTGATAATTGGCCTGATAGTTAGCCAATCTCTGTATAAATATTTAAGGTGATGGGGAATATAGTATGTCTTGAGGTAAATTTTGTACGGTCAGAAAATCTTACTTTAGTCCCAGTTGCTACTATTAAAGCAGCTAGAAATGCCAGCAAGCAGATAACCAACAGGTAAAGATTTTACCATGGCTGTATCTCCATGCTGGAAGAATCTGCATGTTGCTGAATGCCTGCTTGCTGCTTAAAGGACATGGCCTTTGTCAGGGGGGAAAGAAAGTGGCAAATGTAACTAAAGGGCCTGTTATGAATAGTTATTGTAGGGAGGTAGGATTCACTATATCTAAATACTCTTTGACAGATTATTAAACATGTTGCTTGTAGCAGTGGTGGTGGATGTCATTCAAAGGCAAATTGTGGCAGTGTCAAAGTGAACAGGGAAAGTCTCTTTCGCAAATACCTTCTGATGTAACTGTTTCCTCCAATTTGTAGAATTGATGACTGCTTCTGGGCTTCTCGGAAACTGGATGCAGTAGCCACAGAAGCAAAGTTCAAGCAGGACCTGGGGTTCCGAATGTTGACCTGTGGCCGAACAGATTTGGTCAAACAGGCCATTTCGTTGCTGGGGCCTGATGGAATTAACAGCATGAGTGAACAGGTACAACATTCAAATAAAGTCTATTATAAACTGTGTTTTTTAAAATAATCAGTTGAAAATATAGATATTTGAAACTGAACATTAATTTTAAATATCATAATAACAAATTGAGATGGTTGAAGAAAATAGCCTTCCTACTGTAAATGGAATTCTTATTTTTTAGTGCTCTCTACTAATCGTTGTAATAGAATGGCCTGATTACTACATCTTTTTCCTAGTATTTAATTCAGAATGGGCATTGAAAGATTACCCCAATTTCCTCTTGTGTGCCAATCGCTGTGTGTTTAGGACTACAAATTTCATCAGCATCAGTCAGTGCCATAAATGGTTAAAGTAATGAATTCTCTCCATGCCTTGCCCCCCTCAGAATATCTGGAAGGTACCTGACTATAGAAGGGAGGGAGGTTAATAGCTTCCTGCTGCCTGTTCTCTTTCTGCCTCCTACCTCTCCCGAATTTAAGAAATCATTTTGTTTTCTGCTTGTGACTGCTGCACTGTGTTTAACCTCTTTTTCCTTATTGCATCTGTGTCTAATACCATTGTCAAAGTAACACTAATCACAAAGGATATGTTGATCAGCTGCTGTGGGTATTTCAGATAAAACAGATTTTCAGCCAGGAGTCTCTGTAGTGAAGGGTCAGCTAATCTAGTTTTCTTCCAAACAGGGCAGCGTTTCCCTAGAGCCAGCAACTCTCAACATTGCTGTCCGGCATTTCATTTAAAATTAAGTCACTGTGTACCATGGATGAGCATACAAAGCAATGCTACTTCTCCAATTGTTAACAGTACTGGTATTGAGTATAGAAGCATCTGAGTCTGACCTGTCAAAAAATATGCTTGTTAAATTGGTAAGGGGAAATGTCCACATAATGAGAGCCAAACATTCTGATTTTTTGTACAAGAAAAGAATACTAAAGTGAAGTCCTGACTTTGCTGGATTTAAACTGATCTTGGTAAAGACAGGACAGTGTTTGTTTATTTATTTTTAAAAAGAATATTTGTAAGATATTCTTCAATTACTCATAGTTTTGCAGAGTTGTTAGTATACAGAGTTGTTAGTAGCTGCCTGGCTTAAATGTTTATCTGAGCTGAAGATCCAGTTTCTGTGATGGAGGAGTGTGTCGGTGTGCAAGCATGTTCACAAACACATCCATGTCATTCTTCCGAAATGATTAGGCTTGATTAGATTATTGCTTTTTTGTTCCTTTTTTGCGGGCAAGAACTCTTGGGGTAAACTTAGCTGTAAGTGGTTCAAAACAACCTGGTGATCTTCATGGGTGGATTTTGGTGTAAGAAAATACGAGTATTCCAATAAAGAATTCATATAAAATGTTATGGTGTGCTTTTGAAGCTTAGATATAGGATCTTTGATTTAGGTAGGAATTTCAAGAGGCCAGTACTAAAATGCAGAAGAACAAACTTGATGGCCTTACAGGCCCCTCCCAACTCAGTTATTCTATTATTCCAATCTTATTTTCTTTAATAAAACTGAAAAAAAGAGAACAATGATTAGTTGCCCAGTTCTAAAGTCCAGTTCATATGTCAAGAAACCACATGACTTCTCCATATGAAATGCAACCATGTGGCAGCTTACCCATATGACAAGCCATTTGTGTGGCTCATCTGAGTTGCTTATGATGCACTGCAGGCAGTTTTGACCACACCAGTGCTAGTTGTGGTCTGTAGTTTAAATTCCAAGGCCCCATCCAGGTGAATGCTTGGAAGTATGGAATACGAAAGTCACACTACAGCAGCTCACAAGTATAAAGAAGGGGCATAGCCAAAAAGTCTGTTATTGCAACATCATGCAGTGTTGTAGTAAACTGATACTGCAATTGATATGTCTGAATAGCAGACAGTGGCACCTGCTCAACATAATTTAAGTGTGGTATGCTACTGATGTGTGTTGGATTTCAATGTTTCCTTAGGAATATGGGATGCAACTTTATAATACTGAATAAGATGTTGTTTCATCTGTCTCAGTCTTGTCCACAGACTGGCTACAGCTATTTAGGGTTTTAGACAGAAGTCTTTTTCCTCCTGATCTGTTGTATCTCTTCTTATATAGGAATGGCTGTAATAATGAACAGAATGTGGAAGTGTTATTTTTCCCAATGGCAGTGTTGACTTGAGGATTCAACGAGAGTGTTGTTCAACAAAATAAATTTCCAAATGCTGATTCTCAGCTTATTTACTTTTCCATCCCTTTGAAAGTAACAGGACTTGCTTCCTCAATAAATTGATCAGGATTGAATTAGAAGGCAGTTTTGTAACATATATCAGCCAGATTCCTATTACTTACATACTGTATGCTGATGTCAGTTGAAACAACTTAAATTTAAGCATTGAATTGCTGCTAATTAAGGAGTCTATATGTATATTTCTCTCTATGTACCAGTCACATGACTTGGTGCACAATAGTACAGTAGTTTAGATCCTTAAGTGGCAACATTTTGCTGCTGAGGTGTATGCCAGTTGACTTAGGTCAGCATGTGTGAGTGATAGAGTTCTGGCTTAATTTGTTTCTGCTAAGAGGATACGTATAAAGCACTGTTCTTAAAATGAAATCATTTCTCTGGAAACGCATCACTATTTTAACACTGATGTACACGCAGGGCATGACTCCACTGATGTATGCTTGTGTGAGGGGAGATGAGGCCATGGTCCAGATGCTGCTGGATGCTGGAGCAGATCTAAATGCTGAGGTGAGGCTGTTTTTGCTTTTATGTGCACTCTTTCTAAATGTGCTAGAGTTATAAATGATTGCAGGGATCCAATATCAAGAATGCTAACATTTTAAAATGATATATGGGCAGAGATGGCCCTACCATTAGCTGCCCAGAGTGGCCTGGTTACCAGATTGTGTGGGTTTTAAATCTTCTTCTTCCTTCTTCCTTCTTCTTCTTCTTCTTCTTCTTCTTCTTCTTCTTCTTATAATAATAATAATAATAATAATACCACCACCGCCGTGGGGCAAAGTGTGGTAGATGTACTAGGTGACCAGTTCATAATGCAGCAGTATTACCTTCCCAGGTATTCTTCTGAAGCCCTCCACCCACCTACCTCTTCCTCTGTTAGAGGACAAGGCTGCATTTAACACATGCCTTGCCCTGCACACTGTAAACCAGCCTACTGCCATCATGTGTTGTGGGAGACATTGTTCTGTTCCTCCCTCTTCTCTGTTGAAATAAGCTTCAGCTGCCAATTCAGGGTTGCGATAATGTAAGTTGTAGGGGACTAGAGGGCACAGAACAGCAACTGAATATGGAGTGGGGAATGAGACTGTTTTCCTCTGGTAATAAAATGCCTTGGGTTAAAACACTGGTTATGAGTCTTTCTAGAAAATAAAATATGCTAGAGAAGCTCTGTGTGTTGTGTGTAGCCCTAATAACTCAATTGCAAACAATGAGATGTATTTCGAGTAGGATTGCACTGAATGGTATATTATTTCCTTGGAGTGTACCCTATTGAGCACAGTGAGACTTCAGCAGGACTGTGCTTTAATGAACTTAAAGTTGGACAGATATAATATTTTGATATAGTTATAGACATTATATGATTGGCATATGACAGCCAGACTTGGTCGGTTCTATTGAATTTATTGGAAGCAATGACTAAATTAAAATACTTGTATAATGTTATTTGTTAAATACCACCTTCTTGTTTTACTTCGTACACCAAATACATAAATAATTTGTCCTTCAGACAGGCTGTGCTTGTTCATGCAATCTGGGTCTACAATTTAAGATATAAAAATCCTATTTTGTAGCTGTCAGTAACCATAATTAGATTATAAGTATACTAAGTTCTCTAAAGCTTGCTATTTATGTCCCACTCACTCTGTTTTAAGATGTGAGAATGTCTTACATTTATTTATCTATTTTTAACCAAATGTTACCAATATCAGTAATGTGTATTAAAATCAACCAATCCTTTAGGTCTTCAAAGATTAATGTAAATATAGCATAATGTCTAATCTAAGTGAGATCAAAGCAATCCTGTATATCCGACTTTCTCATGTTAATGCTCTCCAAATATATCAGACTTTGATTTGATTTGATTTGATTTGATTTGATTTGATTTGATTTGATTTGATTTGATTTGATTTGATTTGATTTGATTTGATTTGATTTGATTTGATTTGATTTGATTTGATTTGATTTGATTTGATTTGATTTGATTTGATTTGATTTGATTTGATTTGATTTGATTTGATTTGATTTGATTTGATTTGATTTGATTTGATTTGATTTGATTTGATTTGATTTGATTTGATTTGATTTGATTTGATTTGATTTGATTTGATTTGATTTGATTTGATTTGTACCCTGCCTATCTGGACCAATGGACCACTCTAGGCGGCTAAATTTCCAAATGCTACAACTTCTATCATCCCTTAGCCAGCATGCCCAATAGCTGTAGCCATTCTGGCTGTAAATGTTAGGTGTTGCCAACCACCTGTGGTAGACAGCATATGGAAGAAGGCTGCTGTATACATTTAACAGGGAGAAACACCCATTTAAAAAAAATAGCATTAACTTCCCAACTACATTTATCAAAGCAACCAGAAGGTAGGTGTTTGCGACGGGTAATAAATTCGATTGTAGTAAGAAGGAGAAAAGAGATAAGATTGGTTTAGCAGTACTTCACTTACAAGAGTTGCTGCTTTCAGCTGTATTATCCATTTTGATGGAGAAAAATAGGGTGTGACTTATTGAAAATAAAAGAAAATACAAAATAATTAAAATCTTTTCTAATTAAGATGAATTAATTTTACAAAGTTTCTAAAGCAGTCCGTAGTTCTGGACTCGTCAGTCACTTCAGTGAATTTGTTTGATTAGAAAACAAGTATTATGTGGGTACTCTTTGTCCAAAGAGTATAAAATCGTTTCCTGATTTCATTTTTCATGGTACAGTATTTTTAAAAGTGAGGCTCAGAGGTTTTCTGGTCTGGAGTGTTTCACATGGGAATACTCTCAGTGTAGAAAAGGAAGCATACAGCCACTTAAATAGAGAGTGTACTTTCTTGACATAGTACGCTTTAGGACTGATAGTAGGATTGTAGAAATGCAAAAAAGCAAACTTAGTACCACCAATAAAATTTGTTTTGGAGTTTGTTTGCATGATAACCAGGCTCTGGGTAAAACAGTTGAAACTTTTGACATGTTTAATGGTAGACCCTCCCAACAAGCTATAATCGGTTTATCATGTTTGGACCAGTTGGAAAACAGTGGATTTTGTAAATTATGTTCTCTGAGGGCAAGAGGAGAGATTTGGGAAGTCTCCATTGACCTACAGTGCATTGAAAACCGATTAATCCCGTAACAGGCCATTTTTGTTCCATTTTGTTTTTTTTCTGGTCTGTAAGTCAATTCTCAGGCTGCAAGTCAAACCTAAATTTTGCGGCCAGAGAAGTCTGTAACTCAAAAAGTCTGTAAGTCAAGCCGTCTGTAAGTCAAGGGTCCACTGTATCAGGAGCCAGTTGGAAAACAGTGGATTTTCTAAATCATGTTCTTTGAGGGCAAGAGGAGAGATTTGGTTTATCTAAAGAAGGGATGTTTTGCAATGGATTCCTTTTGCCAGTGGAACAGACTCGCTGCTGGACTGAGCTCCTCTAACCTTTGTACTGTGTACTGTTCCACTTTGCTTCCTAGGGTTCGATTGGGGAGCATACAGATGGGAGATACCCACTTGTGCAAGTCTGTGTTTGTGAGACTGAATGCAGCTCAGAATTTTAACAGAAGAAATAGAATTAACTAACATACTAAAATTAATTACTAGAGGGACCACTTAAAAGTCACCAAATGCATAACGAAAAGAAGAGAAAGAAAGAAACATAAAATTAATATATGCTAATGGATGACTAGCTCAGTGAGTATCCATGGATAGCATAGGTAGCTCAGTGAGATGGAGCACCTCTCTGTTGAGCCAGAAGTTGTGTATTTGATTTCCCAGTACTGTATACCTTGTAAAAAGAGGCAGTCACGAAAGCAACAAAATCAGGGAGCTGAACAGGGGACAGATTGAATTTGTCTTCAGTGTGGAAGGAATTGTCCCTCTCAAATTGGCCTTCTCAGCCACACTAGATGCTGTTCCAAGTCCTCCATACAGAGCACATTACCATAGTCTTTCGAGACTGAAGGATGCCTAACTAACTATACAGTACCTTGTAAACAAACCAGTTTGTGCAGTCTTCAGTAAGTTGCACAATTCCAGAATACCTCTGGAAAAAAAGAATGATGAAACAACTTCTGAGTACTCTGTACTTAGAAAACAGTGGAATTGTTTACTGTAAGTTGGAATTTACTTGTAAGCCTATAATTGTTGTTGTAATTTATATGTAGAAATGCCTCAAACTACAGTATATAGGAATCCTATGTATCCCATCATAGTGAGAGGGACTGTGGCCAGGTGATTTGTGTATCTTCTCAGTTTGTTATCCGGAAGCTGTCGATAGGCAGCTTCAAGCTTTTCTCTACATTTGCTTACCTTTAAACCAGATTTGGAATGGGCAATCCTTCAAATTAATGCCCTTTGTAATGTAAGGTACATGGCCACCCTTAAGTTTATGTACTCAAGTATACCACCTCGTGCTCTTTATAAACCTTCAGCCCTGCTGGTGTGAAATGGCCTTATCCTGCTAGTTTGAAATGGCTTACTTCTAATTCATTCCAAAGCACTGTTAAAGTAAAATTATGCGTTTATGAAGTGCAGTATGCAGAAACACAATTTAAACCTAGTGCTTCTGTTTACAAATAGAAAGTAACTAAACTGAAGGAGGCCCTTTTCAATGGAAAATGGCATGGGGTGGAAAACTCTTCATCATAGTCCTGTCCTGGTCAGCCTTCCTCTCCTTTGATTAGAGAAAAGAGCCAAGTCTTCCTCATTATTTATATAACATGTTGAACGTAAAATTTACCTTTGCCTTTAGGTTCCCTTTAAGACAAAAGTTAAAGTGAGGATTAACGTTCGTTGCATGCAAGTAGTTCTCCTGATTTTTTTAATTTAGAAAACCACCACACATGGCACCCAAGCAAGATCAGGACTTCAGTATGCAGAGATGAGGCTAGTACTTCACCCTCCGCTGCGTTCTCAGTGCATTTCTCCTCCCACACATCTGTTCCTCCTCAGAAGACAGTTCCCACTAGTACTTAACTGTTAACAATTATAGCATGAGCTTTTGTGGACTAGAGCAGTGGTTCTTAACCTTTGTTACTCGGATGTTTTTGAACTGCAACTCCCAGAAACCCCAGCCAGCACAGTTGGTGGTGAAGGCTTCTGGGAATTGCAGTCCAAAACTCCTGAGTAACCCAAGGTTAAGAACCACTGGACTAGAGCACAGTTTGTGAAATGTAGTTGATTGTCAGGTCAAATGACAGGTTTTTATTGCTGTGACTTGTGGGCGTGGAATGAACTGAGGTATTGATGAGGCATAGATTAAACAAATGACTTGTGGTCCTGAAGTTATTTTATTCTTAGACTCCAGGGATATGTATTCCACCTGCTTTCATAATAAACAAGTGTAAAAACTGTAAATATAAAACCAAAAATACTTCCTAATGTTACACTGCCCTTTTGATTCCCTTGCTCACCTCAATACATGATAAGCAGCCCTAGCAAGGGAGTGCTCAGAGCTGACACTGCATTTCATAAACACTCTTTGTTTATGTGTGAAGCATGATTGTGCTGGCGACTGCTCATAATTCCTGCTTTATCTGCAACTACAGCTGCTCATGAATCACAATTCCTGCTTTATCTAGTCTAGGGCTGGTGACTGGTCAGATCAGGGTGTTACTTACATGAAACCAAATTATGGTTGGATTTCCCTGTCATTGGGTGACAAATTAAGCAGAAAACAATGAAGGGGACTAGTCAATGTTTCAGCTTCATCCAAATCCACTGATGTCATTTAGAAGCATTATGCCAATATAAGGCTGTATGATGGAGAAGACTGCATTGAAACATTAAGACTAAATGAATAGTTATTCATAGTTATAGTTATTCATTCTGTCTTCAAGGAACACTATCCATATTAAATTGTTTCAGACATCATACTATGTCATGAGAGCAGTCTTCAGCAACCTTCAGGCTCAGGACTGCCCCATGCATTTTTTTGTTTTTGTTTCCATGGTTGTTACATTAACTGCAGTTTGCTCTTTCATCCGTGTCTGATAAAATCAACTATGATTTTTGACAACATACTAACTTCAAACTGTGGTTTATGTAGCTGAACTCCTCCATTAACCACAGTTAATATTAATCATATATAATGGTTGAGACAACACACTGAATTGTAGTTAGATGGAAATGGAAACTTTGACTCTCTTCACATCAATGTCATAGAATAGGAGAGAGGATGACCAAGACCTAAGGTCACTGAGGCTTTTTTCATAATTCTAAGCTGTGGATTATTATTTATTTTTTTGTTTCAACCAGGCCATTGACTGGTTTCTGTGGAATCTAGGATGTTGCACAGGATTCTAGAGCATCTTCTTGATATGTACTCAGTTCTTTCAGGAGGCTTGGTGTCCTGTCTTTGGGGCCTCATTATCACTATATAAGAACTTAAAATCATTTCTAGAACACACTCAGCCCTCTGCTTCACCTCTTCAATATGGAGGATGATAGATAGTGTTGAGCAAGTTGTCCTTCAAGAGGGTGGCCCACAATTTCTGATCTCAGTCAGGAACCCTCAGTTTGCTTTCTGAGGACTCTGAGTAATGATCTAGAGCATATGTGTCAAGTTGCATTCCAGACAAATGCCATTTACTTCTGTTATTGTCCAGAATGCAGTTTGAAACAGTATTCAACAGCAGTTAGCAGCCAGTTGATTAGTACTAATCAATTACAATAGTTATAACTGTGTATGCCTCTCAGTTAAAGGCATAGAGAAATATTAAGGGAGTCTATTCTCTTGTGAAATACAATCAGAATTAAAGAAAAATATAAGCCAGAATCCTATTGGTGTTCTTATAAGGTCTGTGTCATTCGCCATGGCTAATTGCTGCTAATTGATGAGGTGCCAGAGCACTTCTTGATTGTGCAACTGGGTGCATGACCAGGCAAAAGGTCAAGCTGGGACTCCATACATACTCAGTTAACCCCAATTAGTTTTGTAAAATTACATACAGTAAATGTTATGGAAACTCCAATAGGATTCTGGCCATAATTTTCTACAGTATCTTCTGCATGCTTCCTTTCTTTCCTGTGTACATAAGTGTACCTAGCTTTCTGACAAATATGTTTTGATTAGATGTAGTTTTTCTCAAGCCATTTATATAAAAAAAACCCTACTTTATCTGTTTATAGGTTGTCAGTACTCCTCATAAATATCCATCTGTCCACCCCGAGACCCGCCATTGGACCGCTCTGACATTTGCTGTGTTGCATGGACATATTCCTGTAGTCCAGGTATTGCTGTATTTCCCTTTGCTCCACCTCATGTTTTATTTTCCATTTTTAGGTTTTGACTGACACTCAACCCATTATTTGGTAGCCATTTCATATTGGTTCTTCCTGCTTCTTCTTTGTTTGCTGCATAGATATTGATATATATAATAGTACTATTATATATAACTAGAAGTACGGCTGCTATCTTAAACTCGTTTACAATGGAGTAATCCTTGCTGGATACAGTGAGACTTGCTCCTGAGTAAAAATGCAGAGGATTGTGCTATGAGCCAGTATGAAGCTTGAACAGAGGAACTTTAAGATAAAGTTGTATCTATTAACTCCTTTTAATTGTGTCTTATGTATCTTATTTATTGTCCTTGTCTCAATGAAAATAATATTAGACTGCTTCTCTCCCACCCAATACTTACTTCCATTCCACAAAATGGATTTAGACCAGTGAGTGGTTCTCAACCTTGGATCCCCAGATGTTTTTGGACTAGAACTCCCAGAAATCCTGGCCAGCATAATTAGCAGTGAAGTGTTCTTAGTGTTTTAGTCCAAGAACATCTAGAGGCCCAAAGTTGGAAGTCACTGTTGTAGGTCATAAATAATGTTGTGTGAGTTACAACAGTGGTCCCCAACCTGGGGCCTCCAGATGTTCTTGAACTGCAACTCCCAGAAGCCTTCAACACCACCTCTGCTGGCCAGGATTTCTGGGAGCTGAAGTCCAATAACATCTGGAGACCCGAGGTTGGGGACCACTGAGTTACAAGAATGAATAAGGAGACACTTTGTCTTCAAAATATTTCTCTCTCCATTGAATATGATTAGCCAAAGTTTCAGAAGAAACAAAAGGAATAATTGTTTCGGACAATGCATAATTAATTAGTGGAAATAACAGTTCTGATTAAGGCCATAAGCTTAGATGGCTTCTGGAATGGTAAATCAGATTAACAGAGCATACATATGTGAATGTGAATACAGTATGTTAAGCCAAGATGCCTCCAAACTGTAGCATTCACATTCATGGGCAGTATTCCTGAGATTACTTGATAATGGCTATCTGATTTGCTGCCTATGGGCTTCAGAGGCGGTATCTGATTACACTCTGTACTAGCTGGTGTCCAGGAAGGTAGTTCCTATGTTAATTGTTCATATTTGATCATGTCCACATCGCATTATTTTTTTTCCTAGTGAATGGAGGTGCTTATGAAATACATCCAGTGTCAACAGCTCACATGTTTTTTCAGCATCTTTTGCTCCCCTGTCTGTTCGTGGAACTGAACAGGGATCACCATAGGGTGCACCATCTGCCAATTATTAAATCAGTATTATCTTCCATTGCTTTATGTTGCTACTCTCAATTTTAGTAATTGATTTTCCTTCAGACAATAGATTCAAACACATAGTGCTGTCATTGATTAGACGTACTTTCTGATGAGGATTTTCACTGTGTGGTCAACTTACGTCATTCACAGGATTTTACATAGGATCCTGACAACATGATCATTCTCAGTTTGAAACCCTTGTATATTTCCACACTGATTTCTCCCAATTTTCTTTTTGGTTATTTTAACTCCCAGAATTCTCCAGTTAGCATGACATAGAACTCTGTATTCTGAGAGTTCTAATCTTTGGATTTTGCTTCTCCATCTTGTTTCTTAGTACATCCCTCCCACAAATATATATTTCATCAAAAGACATTATTAATTAATCAAATGTCATTACCCTGCTATTCCATCAATTCTTCCTATGTATATGGAAAAACTGATGGAATAGCTGGGAAGTGCCTTTTGATTAATAGTACTTGGAACAACCCTACTGAATGTTCAGTGCAGTAGATTGAGGCATCGTTGTTGAGGAAAGACACAGGCTTCTTGACCTTCTCACTTTTCCAAATAACAGCATGCTAAAGGATTTTCTTTTACATCTTTATTTGAGTTTGAAGAGTAGCTATTTTACCCTCCCCAAACTTGTCAGTTTTCTGAATGGTTGAACATTGAACATTTATAAATATGTTTTCTTATTTGCTTCAACAATGGATTGTTTGTATGGAGGAAGTACCAGGTCCAATCCTTGCTATCTTCTTTAGTGGCACAGATCTTGGGTAGCCTATTGGGGGGGGACTGGCCCAAGAATGGGGAGAGCTGTTGCCATAAGATCATGGTCAGCAAAAGTGTCCACCCTTTGCTCCCACCTTTTTGGCCATAACTTTTTTCTTTCTCTCCAAGAGGCCTCTTTGAATGAGGTCATTATTATGACATGTTTCTCTCAAATTAAATTTCAGAGCAATGCTGTGGAAATATTTCTTATACCATATAGTTCACTGAAATCATTATGATTTGAATCCACAATATGATCATAGACCTCTAATTTGCTAGTTCATTGTGCCTGCCAGTGAGGGGCCCATTTTAGTGGACAGGCTTATGTACAATAAATCTGTAAGCAGGAGCAACAAAAAGTATGAGAAAATTTGGCTTAATTTCTTCTTGCATCTATCCAAGTTGACATTTTTTTATACAAGCTGGATTTCCTGGAGAAATCTGCTCTAGTGAAGAATTTATCTAGTTTCAGCCTTTCGGATATCAGTGCTTCAACCCACCTTTTGATATTTCTGCCCTTGGCAGAGTGCCCAAAAGTTTGCTTTCCTAAAAATATAGGGACTGTGAAGGATACTGCCCTTTTGAAAATCCTTTAAATGCTTCCTGTCATTCTATGTCATCTCTCCAATCAAGTAATCTCAAAACAATCTTGGGAAAGTTACTTTTTAGACTACCATTCCCAGATCCATCCACCCCAGACAGAAGCCAGTTGCCCAGATTTTTCCACACTTTGCTCCATAAACACACATCATTATAACTTATTCATGCTATCTCCCTAAGCACACAGTTTTAATGCTCATAACATAAAAAAATTGTTGTAGCAAAATTGCATGGACATTTCTGTAGAAAGAGGGAAGACTTATGGCTAAAATGCAGATCTAACACTTAAAATGAACATTTACTATCCTCATCTTAGTCCTCAGACATTTTATGGAAACTTTAGAGAACCTAACACCCTTCACAATATTATTTGGTATGATGATTGTGGACTCCTGCAGAGATGACAGATGCAGCTGCTTTTGGACTACAGCTTCCAGAATCCTACAGCCAGTATGGCCATCTCTACAGTTCTGGAGTGGCAGTGTCACAGTCTAAAAAAGCAACATTTCCCATCTCTGGATTGCAGTAGGCATACAATCATTTCTGAGCCCTAGCATTGGTATCCCAAAGTCTTGCAAGTCTGCCATCTTATAGTATTCCTCCTCCAAGAATGGCATAGTGCCCTTTACAGATAGGATTTTAAAAACTGCATGGAGAGGTGCTTAATGGTGCTGAGGGACAAAGTGCTAAACAATTGCGGTGGAAAAACAAATGCTTTGTGGGATCATATTTCATCCAGTACCTTCTCTTTCCCTGTCACAAGCTATGTTATGACATGGTTTTCCCTGTCCCCCTTTCCTTTTCGTATGCTTGATATATTGTATAAGTGACCCGGTCCAAAAGCAGAACAGACAAAAACATTTTAGGTGATGAATGTGTAACCCATTGTACAACGGATTGGTGTTAAATTCATTAAGTGTTGATCTTACCTTGTGCATTGGATGATTCTCCAAGTTATTCTTGACAAAATAGTCCTAAATAACAGTTTTCCTTTGTAGCTGTTGTTGGATGCAGGAGCCAAAGTAGAAGGTTCTTTGGAATATGGTGAGGAAAACTATTCGGAAACTCCTCTGCAACTGGCAGCTGCTGCTGGTAAGATGCTACTTCTTGCCCTTAATTTCATCATTGAGAAAGTGTGGTTGATAGACATGAAAAGCAGTCCTTAACACATGCACATGCACACACACAAACAAAACAAAAGGTTAAAAAGTTGCTCATTTTTATTGATTTGCAGGGAATTTTGAATTGGTTAGTCTCCTTTTGGAGCGAGGTGCTGATCCCATGATTGGAACCATGTATAGGAATGGAATTTCCATGACTCCACAAGGTGATATGAACTCTTTCAGCCAGGCTGCTGCACATGGACACAGGTAGAGTTGGAAGGACCCTACTTAAAAGGGTTGAAGTATTTTGTTTGTACAGAATAGTGCAAAACTATGCAAAGTAATGTCAATTGCGCTTCCATTAGGTTTGTTCATGTCTGCATTCATAAGTGTGCTATCAAATCCTCGGGTATTGTGTTGTGTTTGTTTTTGTTTGCTTTGTCTTGTTTTAAGAGTTAAGTCTGTAAATCACTATCGGGCACGATAAATTAATGGAACCGCCATTTGTAGAGGCAGTATGTCAGAACAGCAAATGCTGGAAACAAATGATAGAGGAAGATTGGCTTGGGTAGCCTATTGTGCCTCGCTTAACGGGAGCTCCGTTTAGCAACGAAACCGCATAGCGATGAACTTTTTGCGATCGCAAAAGCGATCGCATTGCGACGTTTCCTATGCAGTTTTTTCACTTTGCGATGATCGGTTCCCTGTTCGCTTACCAATCATCACAAAGCGATGATTTTTTACCAGCTGATCGGCTGTTCCAAAATGGCCACCAGGAAAAAAATGGCCGCCCACTGTGTTTTTGCGTGGATTCCTTGCTTTAGAGGCAGCGAAAATGGCCTCCGTATGGAGGATCTTCGCTTTAAGGTCATTTTTTTGCCCATAGGAATGCATTAAACAAGTTTTAATGCGTTTCTATGGGCTTTTTAAAATCGCATAGCGACAAAATTGCTTAGCAGCGTTTTTTGCTGCACAGATTAACGTCGCTATGCGAGGCACCACTGTATTATCATTGCCAAGCTCCAGGCAGCCACCAAGTAGAGTATGTGAATTAAACCAGATACTAAAGTAAGGGCTCAAAAAAGAAAGGCCAGGAAAGAATACCATTGCCTAGGCACATTTTCTTCCAGACGGTATTTCTGGCTAACTGTTCTGAGGAAAGAACCAGTGGCTGTTCTAGGTCAGTAGACATTGCCTAGGGATTGTTTGCTATCTGGGAAGATGGTCCAGCTTGTAGCTTTGGTGGCTCTCCACATACAACAGCTATGAGGTCTAGCCTTGGCAGATCTCTTGGCATTTTCTTCTTCGGCTTATAAGCTCCCAGGGTTATCTGTCTAGTTACTGTTGGAGAAAAGAGTAATGGATCTGTGATCTAACCCAGCGGAGTTCTTCTTGTGTTCTTAATACATGGCCATGAAAGGCATAATGGACATTGAAAATGAAACTGATGTACTGCCACAACCCTGTGATCATCCAGTCCAACCCTTAGCTTGGTGTAAGGCCTGTAATGCAAGATGCGGGAACAATATCCCTGATGGATTTTCTCCTTAGCTTTTCCTAGACAGCAGCTCCTTCTGTGGTATTCTGCACTGTGTGTTTATGGAAAGCTGGACTCCCTCCAATGCATATTCTCTGGCAGGTGAAAAGACAGATGGTTAAGGAGCCCTAGGCATTGCAAAAAAGAAAGCTGTCAAACATTCCTTTAATTTACAAATGAGTGGCTTGGCAAAATTCTTATAGCACTGGTAGAAGAACAGGAGAGCTCCAGGACTTGGCGTCCTTCAGGAACTCTTCAGTCTGATGGACTGATGGGATCCCAAAACAACCAACCAATCAACAACAAAAACAACCAACCAACGAACAAAAAGATTTATCTGCAAACTCTGGGCAAAACAACCATGGCAAGGGGAATCCTGGGGCTAGGAAGACTGTTCGAACAGTTTGGGGCAGAGGTGAGTTACAGGTGCAAGGAGAAGACCAGAAGAGTCATGTGAAAGTGAAGCAAGTTTAAGGTGAAGGAGAAAGGAGTATGCCAGTTGCACTGTGTATGTGAAATAGAGGAAAAGGGGGAGTGGGGCTGTTTCACACATTCTTGTAAATTGCTTGCTGACTGCCTGCTTGATGATAGAAGCACTGTGAGAAGCAATCCCACAGGTTTAAGAGGCATTGGGTAACATAAAACCTCTATCTGTGGCAATAAATTGGTTCAGATGGAAGTAATTATTGCTTGATGTTGTAGTTGTGGAATGATAAACATGCATTGCCTAAAATCCTGTTGCTTGGCTTAGTAAATAGTGACTTACTGAAGTAAACTGTAGTTATAAATAGACCTATTTGAATTGATGAAACTTATGGAGAAGTAGACTCACCAAGTCCCCATTGATTCAGTGGGCTTATTCTAGTGTGATTTACTGTGCTAAACAACAGGATTTGGGGCATTGTGTGAAATATCCCTTAGAGGGGAAGACTCTGTGTTTCTCTTTAAAAATGCAGAAAGCACAAGGAGTGAGAGGGTGCAAAATATGGCAGTGAAAAAGAGTTGCCACAATTATAGATCCATGAACAATCTTCTCTCCGCCATCACTGTTTCAAGAACACACCCACCATTTGCTGCCTACAGAACTTTGCTTCCACTCTGTTATCTTCCTGAGCTTTATTAATCCAGGGGCTGATTGGCAGGACTCTAAAAGAAGGAGGTTAGCTGTGAAAAATCACATCTCAAATGTGTATATCTGTGTTCCTGGGAGATTGTAAGATTACTTTGGTATGTGGTCACTGTCTGGGGGAATAAGATTAAATGTTAATGTTCTCATGTAGTACTTTTAAAGGGGAAACATTCCACATGAAGTACATATTTTTGAGAGGAAAGGACAAAATAATTGGTGGAGCCATCATTTGGCTTGAAGCATCTATCATGCAAACTGATCCATCTTTCCTGCAAATTGCAAATCCACAAGGAAGATGAGTGATAAACCCACTATGACATCTCCTTGAATACTAGGTCTCTCTTCATCCTGAGAACTCTGAACTGTATTATTCTCGGGATTATCATTGAATACAACCTGTTTTATTACATAGCATTGCATAAAGCACCCATCTTCTCCCCAACTAACAAGAGAAAAAATTCTCCTTCCCCAATAAACAGACATGCACATACGGACACGGGTATACATATCTCTTAGCCCTTTTGTCCTCGATACATTGCTTATTCTGTCCCCACAGGGCTGAACATGTGCAGCTAGCAAGATGTAAACATATAAGGTAGGTGGGAGATAAGGGAGAAGATCTACATTTGGTTTGATTGATGGCAGCCACCTCTTCATTAGTTGGTAATGATGCCATAGAAATTGAATGGTGTTACAAAGGTATTAGTCTGTTGATGAACAGAGGACAAAGTTTCTGTTTTGAATGTTGGACTTGCATCTTCAGGCCCAAATAAATTGTATGGGGCAAAAAACAAAGCATTGAAAACTGAAAGCTTGAAAGCTGGTCTAGTTAGGTGCACTACTAACTAGATTTAGCATTAATTAGTTGGCAAGTTAGTTTCTAGCTTCACGATGAACAGTTCCAACCTGGTGGTCTTCCCCCTCCACCCCTCTCTTTTTGCCCTGTGATTGACAGAAATGTATTTCGTAAGCTGCTTGCTCAGCCAGAGAAGGAGAAAAGTGATATTCTGTCCCTGGAGGAGATACTGGCTGAGGGAACGGAGTTGGCAGACAGTACTCCAGCGCCGTTATGTGCCAGCCGCAACAGCAAGGCCAGACTTAAAGCTCTGAAGGAAGCTATGTATCACAGCGCTGAACACGGATATGTGGATGTAACCATTGACATCAGGAGCATAGGTCAGTTTGGGTTTCCTCTGTGGTTTATTTCCCATGGGAGATGACTCTCAGAAAGATGGCTTGTAGGGGGAGCCCTCTGTCACTTGTCCTGACAATTTCTGTTTTTTTCCTGAATGTCAAGGCAGAAGACAGGCAACTTTCAAAAGCGTCTGGAAATGTAGAGAACTTGGAATGTTAAAAAAGAATTTCTTTCTCATGGATTCTGCAGGCATTTGGGATTTATATTTGAACAAGAGTAAGAATTATCATGCCTGAACTGGCAATAATAAAGGGAATAATAGAGCAAGAGCAAAATGACCAAGTCAAAGGAGCAGCTTCAGTGTCACCATTAGAAATGTCTTTTTAGCTGTGTTCACACCAGTGTTTTTTTGTCCTACCTTGTTCTTTGTCTCTGTATTCTTTCCCAATCAGTTACAGTGTTGTACTTCATGTTTTCATAGTTCCCTCACCACTGCCACGCACAAGGAGCAGCATAGGAATTACATGTGGAACTGTTACTCTGTTAACCAAATAACCTTAACCACATAGCTCCATTCCTACAAACATTTTTAATTAATTAAGTATAAACATGGAAACAAACATTATTTCATATTTCGATACTGTACTCCTCCAGATGGTGACTGGAGTACAGTCACCATCCTTTATAAGATAGCAGATGAAGAATTGCTCTTTTAAGAAGGTGGTCCTTCCATCTCTACATGAGTTTATGTGTAGTCATATTGCCCTGAGATTGTACAACTGAAAGAAAACACACCCTGGCCTCTTCCTCCAGCCAATGACTGCTGATAGGTTGTACCTTCTGCCTTTCGGGAAGACTATGGTAAGGGAGAGCCTATCTAGTGACCAAAGAAGAATCCGCTGCGGGAACTTGCTTTTCCCCTCAGTACCAGGAATAATGTTCAGCTATTTTAAGACTTGGGAGGGAAGACTATGGTAAGGGAGAGCCTATCTCGTGACCAAAGAAGAATCTCCTGCAGGGAACTTGCTTTCCCCCTCAGTACCAGGAATAATGTTCAGCTGTTTTAAGACTTGAGCGTAAGAGGCAAACACATTTTTGCCTTATCTGTGTCCAACTGGAGTGTTTAGGTTTGGGGTTTGTGTAGGACAGAGCAGACCAGAAGATAGGTCTCCATAATTTTTGGACTTCAGTTCTCATAATGCCTGACCATTGGCCATGGTGGCAGGGGGCAAGGGGAAATGGAGCTCCAAGCATCTAGAGATCTATGTTCTGCCTGTCCATGACTATGATCATGAACTTTTCTGGGATCCTCTTGGACACGACTATATTTTAAAGGGAAAATCTGTAAGTATTCAAGAACGTTGAATTGCCTACCACTATTAGTTGAACTGGACACCTCATTAAATGCTCCAGAGTTGAGTAGTTGATTAGAATGATGAGACACCCAAGTGCTCTAACTTATCATTATAGGTAGTGGGTTACAGCGCTTACTTGAGAGTAGATCGTTCAGTGGGGAGGCTCCACTTGATACAGTAGGCTAGAATCTTTCATTGCTAATATGACAGAATGATGCACATGTACAGCAACTGTTTTGATCTGTGCAATTTTCCCCTTCAAAGACTATAGAGAAATTTATTGATTTGATTTATATACTGACCAATTAGTGTGATGCATTATTCTGGGTGGTTTACAGCAGTAAAAAAACATATACTAATCGGCTATAAAATGAGACAGCAGAACAAGAGGCGTAAAATTAAGCAGGGTCAGTGTGGAAGGCCTGTATTTTAAGTTGCCTTCTAAATATTAACAGGGAGGGGGCCAGATGTAGCCCCACTGGGTGGTGGTTCCACAAAGTTGGTGCCATCATGAAGAAGGCCTGGCCTCTTGTGGATGACTTTCAGGCCTCCTTTGGAGTGGCTACCTGGAGGAGTATAGCCTGGGTGAAGGTGGTGTGTCTGGCAGATGACATTGAGGAGAGACACATTGACACATAATGTACTCTCAAACTGTCCCAAACTGTGAAGGGCTGTGTACATAAGCATCAAAACCTTGAACCCAATCCAGGACACAATGGGTAATCAGTGGAGATGAAACAGAACTGGAGTGATGTGATCAACTTTGTTCACATCAGCCATCAGTCTGGCCACCATGTTCTAGACCCACTGTAGTCTCCAGGTCATGCAGTAGTCAATCTGGAAAATAAACCAGTGTGCTGAGTGTACCCTTGCCAAGGTAGAGGGGGAATTGGGTGATAAGTCTCAGCTGCTTAAAAGCAGATCTGGACACAGAGGCAATCTCAGAATCCCAGGAAAGAGCCAGGTCCAGAAAAACATCCAAATTATCAATTTAATCCCTAAATGAGAGGGCAACATTGTCTAGTCTAGGGATAATCCACCCCCCATAACCTGTTGGAGGGGCCTCCCAGAAACAAAATCTCCATCATGTCTGGGTTCAGTTTGAGCCTTTTAGTCCATTACAGTATCAAAGCCAGGCATTGCTTGAGTGTCTGGATACCATCCACTGCAGAGGTGGTGAAGGAGAGATGGAGTTGCGTGTCATCAGCATACTGTTGACACCTTACTCCAAATTTCCTTATGACTTCCTCCAGCGGCTTGACACAGATGTTAAACAGGAAGGTTTTCTCCCTTAGGAGTGGACCTAACTAGACAAGGAACTTCTAATGAAGAAAATTTCTGGTTGTAAATGGCCTGAACAAAAAGAGCTATGAAACCGCTAGAGCAGATACCCAAGGGGGGGGGGAACATTGCCATAAAAAAGAAGGCCACGTTATTCCTATTTCACTGGCGATGCTTTTTCAAGAGATCAATACATCTTCAATTAATATTGAATTTGTTTAAAAGATACATTACTCAATATATGAATTGTACAAAGTTGCATTGCGAAATGATCACTGTTCCTACCATAGGTTAGTGTGATTAACATACTCCATAAGAAGGCAAACATCCAATGTCCAGTTTTAGCAATGTCAAATCTTTATTTTCACAAGAAAGGATCTTCCACAATATGTCAGCATTAAATATGTTAGGCAACCTTTTATCACATTAGCTATACAAATAGGGTATTCATAGTCAAAAAGGAAGCGGGGCCAGACATTTAGCCCTTGCCCCAGATTTGTCTGGTTCCTTTTAACCTCATCCTTGCTGCTTCCATGATTTCCATATCTTTTGCAGTGGGGAGACTTGTAAAGCCCCCCATGTGAGATTAGAAACTTTGATGGTGTTGGGTGTAACGGCCTCCTTCTACCTCACCAAGGAAGGTCGCTACGTCACTCCACTGTTACTCTTCTGGTAGTGTGCCACCAACCATCCCCTGCAATAAGTATCTTCAGGCCGGAATGGATTTCAAACAAAATAACTAAAGTTTATTGATTGGTACATTAAGATTGGTATAACAAATAAATCAGGTAATCACATAAAGAAAGGCTCTAGCTCACACAGACTCATATCTCCACACAATCTGATCACTATCTCATCTCAACACTCACAGATCCTGATCCCTCTCTCACACACATTCACACCCCCATATATCCCAGCTCCTCCCCCTGATGTCCCGCCTTCCGACCACCATTGGATGTTAACACTCCAGCCTAAACCTTGAAGGACAGGTGACATCATAGCTGTTTGTAACATAGGGTTCCAAATCATGCAACAGCCTCCACAGGTACAAGGCCCATCACTATCATCATTAGTTTTGAAGATACAGAGAACATAATAACTGCAGGGTAGAGTGGGGGAGATGAGAGATAGGTTCCTCAGCTTGGGAAAGATGGTCTCAGAGGAGACCCTTGCGTGAGTGTGTACACTTTTGTTTCACAGTTGCCACTGCCCATTTATTTGCCTCCCTCCCCCTCCCTCTTGGACCCAATAGCCCAGTACACATACCAGAGAAGACTGAGGGCTTCTGTCCAGGCCGTCAATTTCCTTACTTCTTGGTTCAGTGGTTGCAGCTGAGTCTGCTTCCTTGTTGTTTGAAGCAAAATCTCTTCCCTTCCCCCAATGTGGAACCCTTTCTCCTGGGTAGACTATGGGTTGTCTCTTGGCTAGGTGATAAATGGGATGATGACTCCGAGCTTCCCAGCTCTCTGAAGGAGTTGTGGAATGATGGAGAAGAGGTGGAAGAGCTTGGGAAGGGGCTTAAGGGGTATCAGTTTGCCCAGGCAAAGCATCCTTGTATTGGAATTCCAGTACAGATGCTGCCCTGCATCTTCCATGAGAGTTTCCTAGAATTACAATCTCTCTCTCCTTTTCCCCTTCCCGGAGAGTCTGCTGTTTGGGCCGCTACACCTTCTGGCACTATCTTTGACAGAGAGGACAGAGATGAGAGCAGCACTATTCTAATTCTTTACTCTTTTTAATGGGTGGAGAGTAGAGAAGGACAGATGGCAGTGGTGAGGAGGAGCAGCAGGCTCAGGGGACTCCAGGGACTAGCTGAATACTTCCTTTATCCCACCTGCTCCCCAGCTATAGTATGGCCTAGTACAGTCAGCCATTGGCATTGGTCCTGCTGCTGACCCTAGTGACTAGTCTATCTGGAATGGGATATGAGGTGTTTATGGCACGGAGCTAAATTTTGGAAATACATTCAAACTTTTAGGGTACTTCATATTTTAAACAGGTGTCCCGTGGACTCTCCATACATGGCTAGAGTCCTTAAGAACTGCTTTTCAACAGCACAGAAGACCTCTCATCCAGTGCTTGCTGAAAGAATTTAAATCCATTCAGGAAGAAGAATACACTGAAGAACTGGTCACACAAGGATTGCCTTTGATGATCGAGATCTTGAAGGCAAGCAAGGTAGGTTTGACTTTGTTATTGTTTTCTGTTGCCGTTTCTGTCTTAGCTTACGTGCAAACACATTAAAATGCAAAGGTAAAATGACTAAAGTGTAATAATTTGATTACTAAATATATGGTCTGAAAATAAAGCAGTCTTTATAACAGTAGAACATTGAACATCACATTTGTGTTGTAAGCCGCCTAGAGTGGTCGCAATGACCAGATAGGCGGGGTACAAATAAATAAATAAATAAATAAATAAACAAACAAACAAACAAACAAACAAATAACAAGAAATAAAAAGTTTTAGTTGGACCTAAGTAAATAAGCAAAGAAAGTAAATAAAGATAATTATGTTTAGAAAATACTGTACCTAGATCTTTGAAGTATATACAAAAAGGACTGGTTTGCATGTAATACCAAGTCAGAGTTTGATGTTTGTTTATTTATTTATTTATTTATTTTATTTATATCCCGCCTATCTAGTCAATAGACCACTCTAGGCGGCTCACAACAGGGGTACAACAATAACTAAAAACGAATTTACAAAGAAGAAAACTTTCAACCATGAAAGTTAGGTGGCCATGCTTTCAGTTCTTATAGTCCAACCTGTTTTCCTAATCATACTGTATTTGATTCATTTGTGACTTCCTGTAGGTATGTACTTAACCTCCAAATGAGGACTGTGAACCAGCTTCAGACTGTATTTTGCAACACTGGTTTAGAGCCCAAACACAAATCACAGTTTGCTGGCCAGTGATGATGTGCTTCAGACTATGAAATAACTAGATAGAAAACTGGTGGTTGAATGAGCACAGTGCTCATTCCCATAGCATCAAACATGGCTTGGCATCATACAATGAGCTGATGTACTGGTTATGACATGTATTATATTTCCCAAAAAAACTAAATGCAGATGTATGCAGTTAAAAAAAAAAGAATTGATGAGCACCATCTGTTTCAAGAACAGCTTAATATTGGCACAGACAATGAGCTGGAGAGAGGACAGAAGTCAAAGCCTTGTGGTAAAAGTGAGAATCACACAATAAAATGATTGTACTGGCAGAGTAAATCAACGTTCTGTAAGACAATTTTAAAAATTACAAGTTTTAGACTGGGCTTCAGATCAGCACCAAATTTGGCACAGTATTGGAAGACAGTCTGCTCTTGCTCAATGCCAAATTTGGGGGACGTTAGGCATGGGGTTTTCAAGTTATGACTTTCTAAAAGTAAAACTGCCCCCTTCAGAAAAAAGAAGGCAATGGATGCAGGTTTGGAAGCGTGGGATTTTTTTTTCTTTGGCCGGAACTGATTAAATGGTTTTCAGTGCATTCCTATGGGAAATGGTGCTTTGACTTATGAAATTTTCAAGTTACGGCCACTGGTCCAAGATGGATTAACTTCGTAAGTTGAGACACTGCTGTCTAAGAAATGGTAATGAACACATGAGGGTATCCTATAGACCATTGTGACTGCCTGACATGGGTATCATCAACATTCAAAGTGCTCTTTGCTATGTAAAGTTTGACATTCCTTTTCTTGCTAGCAATGGAGGCATGATATTGTGCAGGAATATTGTGCCATTTCCTGGCATTTTGAATTGTGGATGCAGAAACATCATATGCCACATTCATAAACTGGAAGGTTTTTTAAATAATTTAATCTAGATATGAAAGGCTGATAAGCAATCAAGCATATCACTTTATCCAAGACTATAGTTCCATCTTATTTGGCTCATTGTGTGGAATGACTTAGGAAGGACAATGTCCAAATTTCCTTAGATTTTTGGAACAGTACTTAGAGCACAGGACCATATTCTCCTACTCCCCGCCCCCCAGAGTATAATGTTTTTGAGATGAGTTAATGTAACTGATTTGGTTCTGTGAGAACACTCTTAGGAATCTGTTTTAGGATTATTATTTTTATGATTGCAGTTTTAGAAAATCAGAAAATTTTATTTGAAACTCTTTGACAACATCTTTAAAGGAGGAGTTTGCTTATAACTTTTGCACCTCTTCTTTAGGCAAATCTGGAACACATTGGTTTACAAAAGCAATAGGGAAAAATTTTCCACCTCGGTAATGAGAGTTGACTAAATTTGAAGAAGCCACGCTCATGCATAAACCTCATTTACAATTTTAAGGACATGAAACTTACTGTGCATAATTAGTTGGCACATTTAAATAGAGGATAAGGAAAAGCATTCTAATATATATATTTTTTTCTGAGCTATCCATAAGATCTTGGTGCATAGCCCGGGGATGATGTATTACCATCAAAAGCTATGTGTTGCTTGATTTTTTGGTGGTCTAATAAAGGTATCACCTGGATTTGTATTGACCCATCTGTGTAACTGGAGCTCAATTGTGCTTTTCAGGGTTTTGTCCTCCAGACGTTTTGTGGACTTTCATAGTTTTGTATTTGCCAAACCACATGGAGAAGACAGATGCGTTTAATATCAAGAAATGAAAAGAATAGTTAACTTCTCACTTTTGCTTTGGGTGTGAACTGGGGGCAGCCAGCTTTTTGTCTGAGGTGTGACATTAGCATTACAGGCATTTCTGTGGCATTAGCTTTACTAAAGAAGCGCTATTGAGCTTTCTCCATCAAAGCAAAGAGTAACGTTTTAAGTGTTGTAATGAGTGTGTGTGTGTGTGTACTTATTAGCTGCTTCCAGCGCAGCTAACAAATAATTCTATGTGGTGAACTTTGAGCTTTCCGATGTTTGTTTTTAGTGAGCTCCACTCCATTCACACATAAATAGTTACTGCAAATGTTTTATGAAGCCTTAATATGAACTCCCTATCCATTGTTTATCCCTTTGCATTTTTTACATAATAAAAGGTGTCATATAGGATTATGATATTTGCTGGGAGTTTGCTTTATTTTGCATATTCTATAATCAATAATAGGATTTATGTGCATTCTTTGAATTGTATCAGGAAATGTTCCTCTTCTGTTAAACTTCCCAAACTGAATTCCAAATACAGTATATCAATTATAAGGTGATGATTATATCCGAACCAATAGATCAGCATAGTTATGGTATGAAATTTAGAATACAAGATTTCATAGGTGAATGTATAAAGGATTATGTAGAGCCCATCAGGTTTTTTTTTTAAAAAAGGAAGTATAGTACTGAAGCATACATTATCTAGAGAAAAGGACTCTCTGGCTTTTAAAAAGGCAAGCCTGTTTTCAAAGAAGGAGCCTGCCATGTTTACTACTCTGCCCAGAAAAAGTTACTTGCTTGCAGATTAAGTCCCAGAGTCTGGAGTATTGTGGAAACTGAAGTCCAATTAATTACCAGATGGAACCACCTCTGCTTCTTGACGGGTCTTTTTATATCATTCTTTTTGTGTTCATTTCTCTTTTGGAGGTTAATTGCTTTATACGCTGGGGACTGTTGTGTTGTGTACTATTACTGATCATCACCTTCAGTACTTCTGTATCTAAACAGTTCACCATAACCAGGACTCGCAACCTCCATAAATGTGCATCTTGCATTCTCCATATGAGAAGCAAACATCAGGTACACCAGCATGGCATGTGAATATGATGTGCAGTTAACCAGTGTTACATAAAATGGTGTGCAGTAGCATGGCCTTGTCTGGAAACTAACCCAGAAATTGGATGTGTTACTTTTTAAGACTAAGCCTTCCAGAATCAGCCAGTGATCGTGGGGTTTCTGGGAATTTTAGTCAATCGAATTATGTTTTCAGGTCTTGAACTAGCCTTGGATTTCATTGAATTATCTTGTACTGAAGTCTTTAGTTACATTTCTCCTAAGGGAATGTTTCAACATTAGATTTCCCTTCCCAGGAAGAGGAAATATTTGCGGAGACATCCTAAGCTGCAACCTAAGGTGCAGCGATATTACAAAGAAGGTTCCTTTTCTAGTCTGACCGCATAGATCATACTACAGGTGTGCATATTTTTGTTTTGAGACTATAACTCACAGAATTCTGCAGTCGCATGGCTCAGGAATTGTGGGAGCTGTAATCCAAAAATATAAACACCATCTATTCTGTATGTGGATCTGAGCTTTCAGTACATGAATTTTAAAAATCTTTCGAAGGAGAATGTTGGTGTATCTTAACTTACAGTTGTTATCAAAGAATGGTGCCCTGCTGTGGTGGAGCATTCGTCCAGCTCCAGCCAACATAAAGACCTATCTTGTCTACTAGTTCGTTGCCTCTAATTGCTGTCGTCCATTTCCTGGGTTCTCCCCTACCAAATGCTGACTACCAAAGATGTATGTGATTCTTAATCATGGAGGCGAAGTTGTCCAAAGCCACATTTAATCAGTTCTAATTCATTGCATACATGAATTATATATGACAGTGGTTCAGAAACTCTACATGGGCTGCATTTGATGATTTTTTTACAGCCTTTGAAGATTTTTTAGCTGTTGTACACTACCTTAAGCCCCTTCAGTGGGAGAAAGGTGGGATATAAATAAAATCAATAAACAAATAAGATGACTAGGACATTTAAACTTGTCACAAAATGTTGCATGCTGTTATCTATCAAGAGCTGGATATAGGAAGCATGTAACTTTCCTGTTACAAGGACTACACTACCTAGCGATTTGTTTCTGGACTAATTCAAAGTGCTGTTTCTTACCCATAAAGTCCTGCGCAGCTAGGGTCCTGACTATCTGAAAGATCATATCTCCCCATATGAGCCCACATGAGTCTTGAGATAATTGAGGAGGTGCTTCTCTTTGTCCCACCACCTTTTATAGGTTCTTCTAATGAGGAAATAAATGAGACAGGACATTTTCAGTGGCTTTGAGAAAGGTCATTTGATTTTCTCTTTGCTATCCTTCTGTCAGCAAGCAAAAACTTTTCTTTTTAAGCAGGAGCTTGGCACCTGAATTCAGATGCTTTATGGGAAAGTGGGTGATAGTTTTAGTGTTTTAATGTTAATGTATATTTTAATAATGCTTTAATGGGTTTTAATTCCTGTTTTGTTTAATCACTTTTTAATGAGTTTTTATTATGTTTTAAATGCCGGTTTTAAATGCCTGTTGTAAACCACATTGAGTTCTTTATATGGGGAGACGGACAATATATAAATATATTTTTTTAAAGAAATAAAATAGAGGATCAAATATGGAGTGTCTTGTGTTTACCTTCGCTAGCTTTGCCCCACATTCATTTGTTAGCATTATCAATTGTTGCTTATTTAAAAACTGAGCCAACCAAAGCCAGGCTGGGGGGTTTCAAATCTCCACTGTGCTTTCCAAGAGAAGGCCCATCTGATACCACTCAGGATGTCTGTGGTTGTTGGGGCTATCTACCCTGCCACCTGTGCAACAGTGGGCAAGCTGCACAGTTCCATAGCACCACCAGGAAGAGGGTTTGATCAACCACCTCTGATATATAGATATACTTGATACCTAAAAACAATAGAAGGTTTGCCATAGGTTGGAAATGACTTTATTGGTAAAAGATATTCAAATACACTGGTTAGTAATGAATCTTTTGCATGCCCCTGAGAAAGATAGTAGGAAACACAATTTAGTATGTCAATGGTTATACAGTGCCAATAATTATATGACTAATATGAAAACTACTGGTTTTGTTTGCTGGGGCTCTAACTAGTCTTGCTACTTAGCATCGGCTTTCTCTTTTCATACACTTACATAATTTTCTTAGTCTTGTTCTAGTTTCAGAAGAATGTTATGCTAGAATCCTTCTGGGATTGTACCACAAGAATGTAACAGAGGATGGCATACGTTGTGCTCCTCTGCATCAGGAAAACTGTTGGGGAGAATCACAAGTGTTTCTGTACGCCTTTGTGCAGACTGACTCTGCTCCACTCCGAAATCTAACTTCATTCATAAGATGCAATTTGTCTAGCAGATTGTCTATTTGTTTGTTGGTTGGTTGAATTTTTCTTTCTCGCTTCCTTTGGTTGGTTGGATTTTTCTTTCTCCCTTCCTTCTCTAAGTGTACATCATTGCCATTTTCATGTAAAGAGATGGGAAGAGCTTGCAATATTGAATTGTGATTCCCACAATCCCCCAGTCAGCATAGCCAGTCGCCAAACTGGCTAGGATGTTCTAAGAGTAGTGATTCAAAAAAGTCTCTTCTCCAACCTGTTCTTAAAGCATCTTCTTTCATCATCCATTTCAGGAACAGACTTCTTGCTACCCCATTGTTGCCATGCTTCCAGCGCACAGAGTTGGATCAATTTTGGTTTGTCTTCCCCCACCCCCAAACTTAGCTTTCTTTCCCTAGTTGTCTTTCTATAGTGTTCTCTGCCATTCTCTTTGAACAACAGTTTTATTTCAAAGTGTTTGTAGCACATGAAGCCCAACCTAGTGATTTTCTGTAAGTGGAACCAAAGATCTCCCTCCCATTCCTGTTTCTAACCGTCCCTCTGCCAAGATTTCTGTAAATAAAATGACCTTTTTCTTGCTGCAAATATTTCTCATTTCTTATTTCCTTTGAAAGAAAATGCAAAAGAAACTGGATTTCTGGTAGTTTTATATAGAAGAAAATCTGAATAAACGGCTGCCTTTGGGTCCTTATGATCAATTTCCATTAATGTCAAAAAGGTTTGTGTATATATAAAACTATGATTTTTTTTCTCCAAACCTGCACAAAAGATACAAATTCACATTTGAGGTTTCTTCTTTTTTTAGCATGAGCTATTTAATAAGTCCATAGCAATCAGGTCCAAGTCTTTTCCCCTCTACAGTTTAAAACCAACCAGCCAATCAATTCTCAATCACTGCACTACAATATAAATAAAATAAAATATACAAAATTATTACATCAAAACGATTACATTATACCTATAGATTTCATAACACTTCAGATCAAATGTATCCACAGTTCATTGCACTAAAACAATACAAGTTTATGATAATAAAACTTTAAAATACACATCTGATCTTTACTCCAGTTAATGGAATATCCCAGCAACAATAATACTGTATAACATTTAGGGACTTTTACCATAAAAACCACAAGGTTACATTCAGTAGGCTTATATTAATGTTTCTGAATCTTTATAACAGTTCACACTAATAGTAGCCAGGTACTTTGCTCTACATATAGTAACACAGCTCTTTGTGTCACATATGGGTTGGATGCTTGTAATAAATAGCTCAGTTTCTATTACATCCCTATATTTCATTTTCTTTAAAACAGACTGTAAATATCTTTCTCTTATGTCTTTATGTGGCACTCAAGCCCATAGTGAGTTAGATTGTCAAGTATCTAACTCCACATACATACAGTACAACTTATCTTCTATCACATTACCCTGAAATTTACTCCATTTCATCATAGGATCTATTTGCTGAAATCTTAACTATGTGTATGCTATCTAGTATTGCATTTTCATATAGACTGCCGAATATTTCTCATACTGCTGCAGTCATTTTGTGTCAGCAAGCCATTTGCTGTTTCTGGAGATGTAAGAATTGTTATATCAATTTGTTCTCCTACATCAAATACCCTTTGTCTGACAATATAAATGGTAGTTTTCAACAGTGGATTTAGTGAATCAGAGAATGTAAATTTGGGGGAAAGATTGGACAGGTTTTGCAACCAGAAGTTTCCATACCTAGACAATTTTTGTTCCTGTAGTTTAAGCAGATCTTAGGCAGTCTTTCTTTTCTTCATGACCAATAGTTTACCATCCTTACATATATCAGTCCAAAGATCTTTTTGGAATCCAATTTAGCTCTATTAAATAAACTGAAGTAGTTTTTTTTCCCCATGATCGAATGGAAAAATTGGGTTTGAACACTTTCAAATTTATTTAAATGTACTTAAGTCTTAACATGGTGCTATGTGCATTCTGATGAGGCATAGCATGTCCTTTTTTATCTGTCTTCTCAACCTCTTTCTCAATATTCTACATTTCCTGTCAAACAATGGAGACTTTGTTATGTTCTATTTGATTTGAATTTGCATGTTTCTTTTAAAAAATACTGCCTATCATTTTCTCAAAAATATGCTAGTGTATTTCCAATACTAGATTTATATTATAAGACTAGATAAAATTGTATTTCCTAATTTTGTACATACCATTGAATTTTGAAAATCTTCTGTTTAATTTCATATAACTTTTTTTGCCATTTCATTCTTCTACCCCATGTGTTTTGAGATTCTGTGCTAGGCTCTGATCTGAAAAAGATGCTTTCCTCACGTAGATTTAGCTGTTATTTTCAATGGAATAGGCTGATTATCATTATCTTCCTTTTAGATATACTGTGATACCAAAAAATAAGTTGGCTTTTTCTCTTGAGACACCAACATAATTAAGCACACTTGCCTGAGCTTTGAGATAAATAAGTAAAAGCATAAGGAATATTGTTATTACTGTTTCCTACTATATGCAGCCCAAATAAACCTAAGCAGGTTTACACTCATTAGGAAACCAGTTTTAAACCATTATATTAGTCTCAGATACTTAGGATATTTGGAGGTGCTGACATAAATGTTGCATTGGAACACCCTGGCAATATTGCCATATAGCGTTTAGGTATATTCATTCTGTATTTAAACTTTTCAAGAGATATGAACAGTTTGTCTTGGTTTGGGAACACAGGAAATAGTTCCATACAATGTTTGGCTATTTGTTCATCTAGTCACCTCTGACTGGTATCAATTCTCTAGTCTCTGAGACGGAGGTCTTTTGCATTGCCTGCTCTCTGATATTTTAAATTTTAGTTGACAGGGAATAGAAATGGGCAAAGCATATGTTCTCCTACCAAGTACTGCCCCATGAGGCTGGCTTATGTGTTCTTTGCCATTGCTAAGTGAACATGGAAATGCATTAGGCCCAGCCCCACACCAGTGACTTTTGTAGTAGGAGAACCCCTTTTTAATGTGGAGGCTCTTCTGCAGAATATGGAAAACTAATGTATGAAAAACCCCTTATGGATAACAGAGCCCTACCAAAAAAGTACCCTTTACATGCAGAAGGCAGTGGGAAGGTTAATGGAAAAGGGAAAGTGTAGCACTCCTTCAAACAGAATGCCAGAACAGGATTTAACTATCCCCCAAATCCTCAGTTGAAGACTTTGGGGATTAAAACTACCTTTTAACTTTTTCTTTGCTTTATGTGTTGTGGTTTTAGTGGAAGGATGAGAGGATACACAGGCTATCAGAATTTCAAAAAGAAGTGCAGACATTGGAAGACCCACTAATTCTTTGTAGACATGTGTGAAAAGTGCCTTGACAACATCCCTGGTAGGAAGTGCCACACCTAGGATACTCCTAAAATATTTGTACCATTGTCCTCATCTTCAGTAGCAGCAGGAGCATCTCATAGAGTGTGGAGTCTGTATGTTTCTGCCTGCCAGTTGTTCTGGACTTCAGCTTCCTTAACTTCCGGCCAGTATGGCCAGTGTACAAAATGAGGGTTGGGCGGTGTTGTCCCAAATATCTGCCAGGCTGAATGTTCCTCAGCCCTCATGTAGTGGTATCTATCTTAGGGAAGTTATTCCATAAGACAATTGCAGAGTAACTGTGCCTGTGTTTTCATTATTGGGTTATTTAGACAATTCTTGAGAGTGATTCATCTAATCAACCTATATTTAGTGGGTTTTTTAATTGTTTTGTTTTAGAACGAAGTTATCAGTCAACAGCTGGCTGCCATTTTCACTCATTGCTATGGACCCTATCCTATTCCCAAACTTGTTGAAATCAAACGCAAGCAGACATCTCGCTTAGGTAAGTGTATTGTGGCTGTGCTCTTGTGCAACTCATGTCTATCCAACTTTGCTTGGGACATTGCAGAATACATGCAGGTGATGCTCATATTAATATTCAGTCTGCCCCAGCAGTGCAGTAGACTTTAAGATTAGATGCACGTGCTCTCTCTCTCTCTCTCGTGTGTGCATACACACACACACACACACACACACACACACACACACACACACACACTTGTACAGATCAAGTACAGAGGAAAATAATCATCTTTTCAAGCTGGATTTGCACTGTGGCTATATGCTGACCTTTGCATCAATCATGAAATTATTACTATTCTCTCTTGGGTAATTTTTAAAGGGTAAAAAATAAAAGTTTTAGAGAATCAATATATAAGATAGAAATCTAACTAAAGCTGCACTCTGTGTGTGTGTGCATTTTTGTGTGTCTGTGTGTGCAAACACATTCAGAATTCAATGTGAACACTGTATGCATTTTACATGAGGGCAGGGGATGGGGAGAAATAGCAATTGCTCCAAGAGCTGTACTAGTTTACTGTTTCCGTGCCATCTGTGTGCACTGACATCCATTAGGGAATGCGTCCTTTCTACCGTCCTCAACAGTTTCTCAGTCATGTTTTAATATGTGAAATGCACCAATGGTGAGCCAACCAGAAGGACATCTCATGTATTTTGTTATTTACTTCCCTCTGCATGAGCCCAAACACTTTCCAGAAGATTAAAATTTTGTCATCCATTTATCCAAGCTTTAGGCGTCATACCAAAATCAAAAAGATTTTCTTCATCATTTTGTCCAGTTTGGCCCTTATCTCTGATTCTCCTGAGGATATGGAACAGACTCGACACCGAAAAGGGGAGGATGGAGAATTCCTTATTTTTCCCCCTATTCATATTTTAAGAACATGGTCCCCAGGATGCTAGGGCCGTCGCTTGTTTCTTTGTTGCTACCCTGTATTTATTGTGATTCAAGAGACAATGGAATACAGGAAGTGAAGAAAGTGAAAGAAAAAACTGCTCTTGCCTATGTCACTCAGCACATTTAACATTAGCCTGCTATAAAGCTGGGACAAGGCAAACGGTGTGCTACTCCATAGTGATTTTTGTATTTTAATTTTTATCAAACAAACATCCAACCTAAACAACATAAACCTAACACCACAATAAAATACAATTACATAATACACCAGTACAACCTTCACCCTCAAGTCTAGCATTAATAATATTTTTAAAATTCATTCAATCCATTTTCTTTCCAAAAATTCATTATTTCTTCCCTCGGCATACACCCCTTCCCTCTCTGAAATACACATTCTAGGAATACAGTCCATATTTTCTTAAAATAATTATTTTTAATAGGCCTCTTCTTATTTTCATATCACATATCACTCCATATTGGTTAAAGCTCTCTCTGGGTGGTTTACAGTTTAGTTATTGCTCCCCGCCAAGCAAACTAAGTACTCAACTTACCAACCTCAAAAGGATGGAGGGTTGAGTCCACCTCGATCCAGCTTCCTGAGCCCGGGATCGAACTCAGGATATGAACAGAATCTTCACTGAAGTGCTGCACTGTGCTAATCACTGTGCTATGAGGCTCTAGGAATAGGAAACCATTTTAAAGGGAATGTGTTTGTTTGTTTGTTTATTATTTACTTATTTATTTATTTTTACCCCACCTTTCTCCATAAAAAGACCCAGGCAGTTTACATTATTAAAAAAAGATAGCTAAAAACAATAAATTATTCAAATTCTTAAACATAATTACATAAACATGCTTCTTAAACTATCATGAAGTGCTTTGTGGCTCAGTGGTTAAACTGCTATACTGTCGGGTTTTCGTCACGGAAATCACGGTTTCAGCAGAGTATATGGCGGTCTAGGCAGTCCAGCAATAAACACACACAGTCCGGCAGCATTTTGTGCAGCAAAGTGTATTTACAGCATTCTCCAGCAGCATGGCAGGCATATGTGATCTCCAACCAAGTGAAGATGATACTGACTGTACATGTCTACATATATACATTCAGACAACCAATCACAATACAGATTACCTCATAGCATTACATCAGCTCTAGGTTGCATCAGCATGGGTTACATCATACTTGCTGAGTCACCCTGTAAAAAGATAGCTAAAAACAATACATTATTCAAATTCTTAAACATAATTAAATAAACATGCTTCGTAAACTATCATGAAGCGCTTTGTGTCGCAGTGGTTAAACTGCTATACTGCAACTAAAACTGTGCTCATGACCCGGGGTTCAATCCCAGGTAGCCGACTTAATGTTGACTCAGCCTTCTATCTTTCCGAGGTCGGTAAAATGAGCACCCAGCTCGCGGGGGGGGCAATATGTAGCCTGCATAATTAACTTGTAAACTGCCCAGAGAGTGCTTTAAGTGCTGTGGGGCAGTATATCAGCAACCCGCTTTACTTTTGATGTTTTCAACATTAGAATCAAATATACCAGTGGTTCAACATACAGCTAAAATGTCTTACCATCTATTTTCTTTCTTGTATCCAGATCCCCATTTCCTTAACAATAAGGAAATGTCAGATGTTACATTTCTTGTGGAAGGAAGACCATTTTATGCACACAGAGTATTACTATATACTGCATCCCAAAGGTAAATATGTGCATTTATTTTTAAATTACAAAACTTAATTTGAGTATTTTGGGGAAATACAGGGCAGGATACTTTTAAAGGTTGTCCAACAGGGACTTGCAGTCAAGGTTATATTTCAGAACTATGGAATGATTCACAAATTAGAGAGGTTCCCAGTGGATTGTAGCCTAGAACGGTTCACATCAGCAAGCTTTGGGCTTCAGAACAAGGGGGTAAGGCTATGCATGAGACAGAGGGGGTGTGGAATATTCATGAGGAGCTCTGCTAAGCAGCTGAATTATTTTCCTGCCCTTGTTAGAATAACAGCCAAAGTCCATGGGTCACTAGGGGCTTCTAGTCACTCCAAAAACAGGACTCTTGCTTTCACTCACTTTTTGCCGTAGGTTCTCACTCTTTCTGATGGCTCTCTTTAATGATGGGGCAGTAACTATGATCAGTGCTACTAAAGGAACCTTTGAGGGTATGGAGTCAGACCTACCATTTGTCAGTTCTGAGGTAGATCAGGGACTGAGTGGAAAAAAGAGAAAAATGAGGTGATTTTCTTACTGCAGTGTTGCCTTGCACAAGGGTCTGAACGGAAAAGGAGACCGATAGACCTTCCATCAGAACGGAAAAGTAGACTGTCTATACACCTGGTTTGGAGCAGGCTGGAAAAGACTGAACAGGGTCGCTAGGAGGTCCAGTATGACATTTGGTGCAGTCTTTGCATTCCAATAGCATATGGAGCTAAAGTGGCCCTATTCCAGAGCACAGAGTGCTGTCCTCTGAAGATGCCGGCCACAGAGGCTGGCAAAATGTTAGGAAGAACAACCTTCAGAATACCGCCAAAGAGCCCGAAAAACCCACAACAACCATTGGCCCTATTCCCCTTGTTCAGAGCTGAAGAGCCCAGAACAAGAGGAATTTTTGTTTGCTGTCTTTTAAAGAGCTATTCGAGAAAGCAGACAAAAATCCCCATCCCATCTTTGCTTGCTGCTGCCACTGCTTTGCTTGGCCCTTTTAAAAAGCCAGTTCAGTCTGTCTACCCACCCACCCATCCACAGCTCTGCTTGGCCGTTTTAAAAAGCCAGGCCAAGCCAAGCCAGCCCCCCTCACACACACACGTTGTTGTGTCTTGTCCCTTTTAAAAAGCCAAGCCAAGCCATCCCCCCTCACATACACACATTGTTGTGCACACAAAGGAGAACCTGGCTTTCCAGAGGCAGCCTCATCACACTGCCTTTGGACATTAAACATTTCCACAGATCTAAGGAAATGTTTCATTTGCTTTATTTACCACGTCATGGTACTGGCAAATTAAAAGACAAAGACTTCCTTTGGAAATAAACTGGCGATCACATGTGCTGGAAATGACCCAAAGTAAAGTGATTCTACCCCCACCAAAAAAGTAGAAACTCCTTGACGGTGCCAGAAAGATTTGGGTAGCAATTCTCTGAGGGTGGGCTGGTTCACGGTAGCAAATATGGGATCTGATTGCCATCTTTTAAGAGTGCATCAGTGCATCTCTGCAGTGGTCCAAACACCAGGCTAAATGTCTGTATGATTGTGCTGTGGATGAGATAAAAGAAAGGGTTATGTGCACACATGCACAAAAGACTGCCATGATGAATTGTAGCACTTAGCAGTTTATCTTAGCATGGAAGTATTTTCACTTGCATAAGGTTACCCATCGGACCTTGATTAAATGTACTGCTACAGTTGACAAGTTGGGCAGCCAACACATTGTTTCATGCACTGGGTACCCTAATAATCTCTCCATATATATTGGTTTGCAATAGTTAAGTAGAAACTATGAAATGTGGGCATAATACTAAACTGATGCACACACAAGTATTTCCCAACTTAACAATTTATTTAATGATATCTTATTTTCATTATCTGTTTTCAAATAGCAAAAATCTGTCTTGGAATGTTTTTGCCTAGGTTTAAAGCTCTTTTGTCCAGCAAACCTACATCTGACAGCACTTTTATTGAAATCAGCTACGTGAAGTATCACATTTTCCAGGTAACATTCAGTGCCTGAAGGTCTTTCTGTATAAATTAGCTCATGGCAATCAGTGAAAGGGAAAAATAATAATATAAGGAATCAACAAGTAAAGCTTAAAGGGCTTTTCAGCTGCAACATTTGAATTACAGTACCAACCGGAGCCAAATGGCATTTCGCTATTTTATGGTCCATGCGCATAATCAATGTTGCAGTGTAATAATGTTTATAAAAAATCCATACCAAACTAAAGAAATTGGAATCCAGCCCCATGATACCCCACTCCACTAAGAAACTCAATTATTTGATCCATTATTTAATGCAGATGAAGCCAAACAGAGAAGCAGTTTGTACAGATGCTTTTCTTGGTTGCTGTGCATTCTCGTTTATGACCCTTGTCTCCCCTAAAATTTCATTAGGTGGGGTCACACAAGTCTGAACTTATCTTCCCTGCCTTTTAGGGTTAATATTCTCCATCCTCATATTTTTTGAATCTGGTTCCAATTTCAAAATTGTTTTGTTTTGTTTTGTTTGATCACCTGATTGAAGGATACATCAAGAGCAAGACTCGTCATTCCTTTCATCTTTTGCTTATCCTTGCTGTGCATTTTATAGGCTTGCTGAAGATCAAACTGCATGTTCCATGAAATGCAACATGATGCCAAGCTGACTCTGTTTTGTATAATTGTGAAATAAATACATTAGTCCCCAATCTGGACTGAGAGAATCACACATAGGAAGGAGACAAGGCCCAATATCAGTCAGGAGCTCCCTTGCATTTTGAGGACACTCTTCTTTTCAGTTTTAGGCTAAGAACAGAAACTGTAAAAGGGGTAAAATCAAACAAAAACTAAACATTTGTAAGTGAGCTGTTTGATTTTATCTTTTAAGTATTATATCAGTTAATTGTTGCCTTTTTTTTTCCTTGAAGGACTCCTGTGCCTTTAATACCAACAGAAATTCATAGCAGGAAACATACTAAATTTCTTCCTGCTAGGTCTGCTGTTAAAAAAATTTGTATGCTAACTGGGAAGTTGCCTTTATTGACAAGTAACTGAAAAATGTTACAGAATGCTAAAATACGTACAGGTATTCTAAGACACGAAAAGCTAAAAATGGGATGCCATCGTACAATTTTCTAATAGGCATTTTCTTCTGTGGCCTTTTGGCATACCATGGCTGTAGCCCTTTTCTCTTTGTATAGAACTGTCTCACAAGCAAATTTTGCTCTAATAATAAGTACTGTAATTTGAGACAGGGTGGAGACATGCCTTCTTGTGATCTATCAATTTCTTTCATGTTGTTTCAGCTTATTATGCAGTATCTCTACTATGGAGGTGCAGAGTCACTTCTCATTAAAAATAATGAAATAATGGAGGTAAGAAGCATTTCCCACCTACTGTTGATTTGCTACTCTTAAAACAAACACTACTATATAAAAAAAGAGTAGATTTCCCCAAACTCTGCTTTATTATGCTCTGTTGCAGTCTCAGAAGTATGACAGGCTTTGAAACCTCTTTATATAAACAACTAATTTATTAACTGTGATAACTTAGAGTAGTAAAGATGCAATAGAAATACAGTTAAGAATAAGTAGCAGTGTTTTAAGATGATATGTTGTTAATGCTGTACCCCAGTTAATCTCTGTGGTTGTAGGTTCTATTCTCCACTGTGCCTCCTTAATGGGGGCTGGACTTGATGATCCATAGGGTCCCTTTCAGCTTTGCAGTTCTAAGATGATGATGATGATGTCATATATCAAGTGACATTGGTGACACATTTTGGAGATTTCAGATGGAACTAGGAGTTTCTCGTGTTTACTCATGGTTCTAATGTTTCACTATTTATAATGAAAAAAAATCAAATTTTCATTCTATCCTTCTTTTACTTTGCTTAAATATTTGAGCTGAGTAAGAATAATAATTTGAAAGGTGGTATGATAGTCTGTCTTTGTCTATGGGTGCATCTACAGTGATTAAAGAGATGTTATATGATTTTTAAGCAATACAAGTACCTGCAAATGCTCTTTAGGAAAGGAAAAAAATGAACACAAGACTGCAAAATGGCAGCGGACTTGTTCCTTGTTTCTTACCCTTTTATTCATTTAGACACAATTATAAACTTCTACATTTTTTCTTCTCATAGTCTGACATTTGCTATGGTTGGCTGGTTGATAGTAGTCCTCTTGGGCTGTGAAATAGGTTGAAGCCTGCAATGGCAGAGGAAAAAAGTCTGTATTGGGAGGAAAAAAGAATAGGCTGATTTGCATCAGTTTAGTTTCAACCACACTGTTCCTTCTTTTTAATAGTTAGTGATGAAGAAATGAGGAGAATGATGTATTGCACAGTTGTAATACAAACCTTAATATCTTTGAACTCTGTATTCAGATAGCGTGAAAAGGAAAACAGTAAATGAGAAAGTCAGAAGAGGTTGGGGGTAGAGAAGAAACTTGTCCTCATATCCTGCCCTCCCCAAAAAACAACTCTTCTCCTTCCTACGAAGAAGCTGTAATAATATTTTCTCCTGCCTTTCAGCTTCTATCTGCAGCTAAATTTTTCCAGCTTGAAGCACTGCAGCGACACTGTGAGATCATCTGTGCAAAAAGTATCAACACAGAAAATTGTGTGGATATTTATAATCATGCCAAGGTAATAACATCATTGCTCATACTTCCCCATTGATGTATGTATAATACAAGCACGAGGTCTCCTTGGGCAGCTGCTCAGCCCCTGTTGTTGCTGCTGCTGTCCTGTGCCTCTTTTTCGTGGGCTATAATGACCACAATGTTGCCTTGCCATTGTGTGTTATGGAGAATTACAGTGGGGCCTCGGTGCCTATTGGTGAAGCACAAGCATTTATGTTGCAATATGAAGACGTGGGCTTGACCAACTTGGTGTGGGCCACTACAGGACCTGCTCAAAAGGTCCCTTCAAATCTCAAGCCGGCCCTAAAAGTTTTCCCTCCCTTTTGTGTCCACAAATTAAAACCCATTGGCAAGTGAAAAACTATACTGAGATAGAAATATGATTGTTGTTCATGTAGTCTTTGCAAGGTCCATGCCTCTAATTGTATATCTCCCTCCAGACTCAACAATCAAGTCTTTCATTTGCCCTCATGAAAGGAATAAAAAGAAATGGAACATATGAGAATCAGAGTGATGTCATAATTAGAGTGTTGGACCAGGACTCAAAAGATACAATTTGAAACCCATACTCAGCCATAAAATTCACTTACTTGAATTTACAGTAGTCATATTCCTTCAACCTAATCTATTTCATAGGGTTATTGTCAGGATAAAGTGGAAAGTAAGAGTCCAAGCCAGTAATCCATGCTGCCTTGGACTCAATAGAAGAAAGGCAAGATATACAGGTAACAAGCCAACTAAGAGCATATTTGAGAACTGTCATCATTTAGAAGTCAAGAACATGAGTTGTAAGCTTGCCACTCAATCTTACTGAGTGTCGGTTCACATCAAGCCATCTTATCTCAGTCCCAGACTGTACCCCAGTCTGCAAGATGGCAGACTTTGCAAGTAATGGTCATCTGTACTTTGACATCATCACAGTTCCACTGTGGAAATAAAAATTCAAAGCTTGTAACTAGACATGGGGACAAATATAAAAAACAAACTGGGATATTCAGTGAATATCCCTGATGCATCAGATATTCATTGCTTTATATTTTTGGGGTTCAGAGACCCCCAACAAATACAAAGCAATGAATATAACCCGTTTATATTCGTCCCTTCCTCTATCCCTATCTGCTTATGCCCCCCGCAGATCAGCTGTTCCTCGGGGGCATAAGCAGAGAGGGATTTTCTGTTTGGGCAGCTTGCTAAAGCCTGCCCGAAGGGATTCCCACCCCCCAGGGCCGGGGGATGGTTTGGTTCTCCTTTCCTCCTCTTTCTATGCCAGTGCAGCATAGGAAGAGGAGGGAAGGGATCAAAGCGATTGCCCAGGTCCGCTACCTTTGCAAAGGCAGCAGGGCTGGGGGATTGCTTTGATCCCTTCCCTCCTCCTCCTATGCCATGTGGCATGGGAAGGCTGTGGGGGCCGGGGCATTTTTTTTATAGCCCCATGGGCTGTCTAAAAAAAAAAAGACCTGACATATGCCACGTGGCATAGGAAGGCTGTGGGGGTGGACATTTTTTTTTATAGCCCCATGGGCGGTCTAAAAAAAAAGACCTGACAAACCGACAAATCGATTCGTGGTTCTTCAGGCCACTGGGGGGGGGCAACTCATGGGTCTTGGGTTGTCACGTTTGATGACCCATGAACCAAGACGAAGCCCCATTTTGTAACAACTGGAGTCCTAACGTGGCTCAGCACATCTGCTTAAATTATGTTTGTCAAAGCATGGTTTCCAGTTTTGATACTTTGAGGAGCTGCAGTTCTGTTATTTCTCTTTTTCTTTATATCATAGTTTTATAGGATGATTGGTCCATATTGCTTTGTAGTAGTTCAAGGCCATTCTTCTTCAATTTAATTCTTCAACTTAACCTCTACTTCAGTCCTACCCTTTTTAAATGGCTTTCGGCTGTGAGTCATTAGCTCTTTTGAGCTCAGTGGAGCTAGCATAAGGATCTGGAATCCCATTCATGCTTGCCACTAGCATATGGAAGCCTGCTGTGTTTTCTCTTGTCACAACATTAATGGCACCTGATTACTGAAGCTTCACAGAGAGATTGGATAAGGTGGCCCTCCGTTTATCCCTCCGTTTTGTTTTGTTTTTAAAAGTTTTATTGTAGCCATTCACTGCACTGACAAAAGCTATCTGCACAGACTAGCCATGCTCTCTAGGGGCATTCTTCCCACTCACTCCTAGCAAATGCAGCCAGTTTCTGTGCAAAAAGCCTTACTGTCCTCTGTGATGATGTATGCGTTTTGGTGTTTTTGTTGTTGTTGTTGTTCTTTCACTGAAGAGAAAGAAAAGAGAAACACTAATGCGGAAGACATAAGTCAACTCCCAAGTTCTCTTCCACCCATTGGGGATGCTTTTCTTTTCTGCCACTCTTTGGCTGAAATCTTATTGCAAAAGAGTAGGCCCAGTGAATCAATGGAGGAGTTGACTCGCCATTGATTCAATGAGTCTACTCTAGTGTGATATACTACACTATGCAACAAGATTTGGGCCATTCATTGCCAAAGGTATTGAGGCAAGAATCTAAAAGCCCCTTTGGTTTTAAAAATACTTTGCCATGTTGCATGTGGGGCGGGGCCTGAGAAACACAGCCCCATAGTTTTACTGGGGCTGCAGAACTAGTTGTATGAATCTTTTACTTTCAGCCTGTATCTGTGCTATGACCTGACTAAAACTGGTTTTTCTTTGTCTCGTTTCTTTCCCCACCCTCACTTCCCTTCTCCAGTTTCTTGGAGTCACAGAACTGGCTTCTTATTGTGAGGGTTACTTTCTTAAAAACATGATGGTTCTAATTGAAAATGAAGCTTTTAAACAGCTGCTGTATGACAAGAACGGAGACTCGTCCGGCCCAAATGTACTACAAGATTTACAGAGGACGTTGGCAACACGCATCCAGTCCATTCATTTGTCATCTTCAAAAGGCTCCATTGTATAAAGTTCAGGAAGGGTGTGGAGTTTTGAGGAAAAAAAGGCACTGCAAGGGAAATGTTGCTGTTGCAGATACACAACTTTCTTTTTCCTACCGGAGTATTACACTGCAGTTTTGGGCCAAAGGTGCTGTCACTTACTTGAATCTTCTCTTGTGCAAGAGGGTGTGGTACATGTGACTCCTATGCATTTTTGGAATTGCAAGGATGTATTGCTGTCATGTGAACTGCTGCTGTTCAGGTTCTGAACGGACACGTGGTCTTGCGGTGATTGCCAACGAAGGGTGGGCCATGCACCCTGGTAAAGAGCAGAAACCCCAAATAGAGCAAGGATGCCATGGAACAATTATTTGACAAAACCAACACATCAGGTTGTTTTTGTTACACAGTGACATAAACTTCTTCCTCTTCTTCTTCTTCTTCTTTTTTTTGTGAGACTTGTACTTTTCCTACTGCATTGTCCATTGTATGTGCACTTAAGAAACACATGACCTGGTAGCTGCTCTTTAGTAAGAGTCAAAGAAGCGGTAAGACTGTTATAAATGAATATATATGTGTATATATAAATATACATATATATGTGTGTATATATATAGGCAGATTTCTAGTGGTGGGAACTTCTTTTCTTTTCTTTTTCTTTTTTTGTTTACTAAAAAAGACTGGGTGGCCTTGTAGTCAAATTCCTCCTCCTTAAATTCCAAATGTTGTTTTCAGCAGAAATATATTGGAGAATGTAAGCAACACGTTAAGTTCGGGATTTGTTTTTGCTTTAGGGTTTGTTTTTAATATGGTAAAATGTACACTATGTAAGCATTCATCTGAAAATGATCCTGCTCATATTCTTCTTTACTTAAAAGTGGTATAATCCTGCCTGGATGGCTATGGTTACACCAAAGAGGTGCAATTATCAAGGACTCAGTAGTTTTGGTTTGGGAAAAGTCTGCATGCTAATTGTGATTTGGAGTTTAAAACAGCAATGCAATTTGACATGCATTTGCATGGTAATGGTACCTGTGAACTGTTATGTTTGTGCTTAATTTTTCCAAGGGAAAAAAAGATGATGCAATGTTAGTTCTTCGTCAAGCTCCATTTGTGAAGTTGTATTTCAGGGTTTTATCTTCTGAGTGCACAAGTTCCCACAAAGAAAAGTTTTAAAGACAATGATTTCTAATTATTATATGAGAGGGGTCAATCTGGGGTCTTTATTCAAGGGAAATGTTAGTATTTTGCTACTAGGCAAAGGCTATGATGAAGATGATTTATTTTAATTATATATTGAATATGTACTATAGAGTGATTTCTTGCTGTGAATTGAGAATGAGTGGGTTATCTACTTACAAGGGCCTGTAACAGGTCTTGAGTTATTTAGTGACATATTTTAAACAAACTGTTAAGTGCCACACTAATTCTTGACCACTCACATTTGATCAGTTTTGCAAGGACTAATGCAAAGACTGGTTCCAGCAGAATCTTTATCATTCTGTTTGTTCTTTGGCAGAACTGTGTGAATTGATTAGCCTGCGCCCTCAGAAAAATTATGGCTGGTTCATAAACTTTAGAAATGTTCGTAGTAATAGTGCAAGGTAGATCCTGGGTCTTTTTACAAAGGTGCTAACTCACATTTACAGGTTTTTGAAATTTCTTTAGGAATTCAGTTTTTATATTAGACAACAAGAGAACAAGAGGCTGTTGTGTGGTTCTGAACTTCAAATCCTCTTAGTCATTTTAAGATCACTTATACAACACTGCAAAATTGCCTAACGTTCCTTTAAGGGACAGCTTGGTGACTAAATAATGAAGTAACACGCCTCCCTCTCTAATTCCTGGAACCAGTCCAGGACATTTTGCTGTCTGAGACAGAGGACAGAATAGTACTCTTCTCTATTGTTTGTACAAAAGCTGACTGGGCTGGCAGTTGAATTTTCCTTAAACACACTGGCAGTACAGTAGTGTTCTCCATCACAGCCAAGGGGAACAACCTAGCTTAGAGGGTGCAGTGTTGGTTATGGAGCACATGGCGCTCCAAGAAAGACAAACGGCTAGAAGGTAGATGCAGAGTTGACAGATATGGGGCTGCTGCCATCCACCCGAATCTGCCACTTAAGGCAGTTGCCCTACTTCACCCAGTGGTAGGGCCAGCCGTTGCAATCGGTGACTTGCCCTTTTGTACACATTGCAGTACTGAGGGGCAGGGAAGCTGACCAATGTTATTAAGGTTCCTTGGGGTGCTTCCATTAGCATTTGCAGTGTTTTCTCAGGTGTTAGAAAATAGAAGGACAATAACACTGGGTGGTTGTAGTAAGCTGCCAATGGCATTTGAAAGCCTTGTGTGCATTAACTGCCAAGTTGTCCAATAGTAATGGCAAACAATGCAGCAAGAAAAAGATTTACGGGTAGTTTCACAAGTGACAACAGGAGTCACTAGAATGTATCATGTGCAAACTTTGTTGACATGGGATAGATAACAGGTGTTCAAAAAAACCTGAGTAAACATTTTGTGACATTATTTGTGTGCAAATTTGAAAAGACAAAAGTATTCTAAATTACAATTTCTGAAAACTGTTGAAAGCGAACTTTTTACTGGAGCTGGCCTTTGGGAATCAAGGATGGGAGAGAAAGATAAAGCCCATAGGCCATGATTGGGCACAAGGTAAATCAGGGTGTATTGGTGGACCTCTAGATGATTTGCAGTAGATTAGCAGCAACAAAATAAATCTTTTTTTTTTTTTTGTAGAAGGCGTCAGTTGTCTGATCTTGGAGACCCAGTAAAATACAAGATAGATTGCATGAGCATGAAGACCACCTAGGTAGACCCCCTTAATAAGGAGTATTTAGTAATCACTGACTTTTTACTTAGAGATGATTGCACAAAAGTTTAGATCCTGAGATAATAGGAAGAAACCCATTTCCAGACTTGAAGGCAGGTGAGGTGCCTTCTGGGGACTTCATATCCAAGTTGCGCCTTATGCTTTTTGTTTGTCGGTTTTCATTTGACTTTTCATTGGGTGGCATGGCCAGTCTCCTCACTGCCTGATTGCCTGCTGACCTTGCCTTTCTTCCTCTCACCCCCAGCCTTTGTAGGAGCACGGGCAAAGGTTCAGCTCCTTGGCATTTCCCCTGGCACAAGAGTAGCTGTGACTTCAGCAAGCCAAGTCCCCCCTTTTGGGGTGCAGAGCCAAAGAATACCCAGATGTGATGAGAGACCAAATGAGGAGGTTTAGCTTGCTCTATACCACTATTTCAGTGTAGCTGCATAATCCCCAAAGTGGTATTTGATGGATGAAATGTCATTCTTACACCAGGGGGATTATTTAGATTCCAATGATGTGTGACTACGTCCTTTACTGCCATGAGAATGATACAGTATATAAAACATTGTGGCTTTCTTACGCCATACTGCCAACTGTTTGATTTTTGTGTGTATGTTCTGGATCCTGCCACTGGGTTCCTGGCAGTCCAGTGGCAATGAGGTCACTGGACTAAGCGGACAGGAAAGTCAAAACATTCTCCTTCAATTTCTTTCTCTCCACTTACCTTAATGCTTGAACTGCAAATAGCGATGCCATGAATAGATGCTAAAGGGCAAATGCAAACAGAGAAAGTTTGCTCTCTGAAGTGACTTCTTATTCTAGAATCCCTCCAGGATTCCTCTATATTCTTCCATCAAGACCAGCTTGCCCCATTGAAACCACAAGAGGTTTGACATTTTGCTTGAGTTTATCAGATTTACAGGTATTTTGATCCTAACCTGCTACTAAGCATCTTAGTTTAGTGGTTTGGTAAAACATGAGGCATTTTTTAGGGGTGGCCCATAATCTGAATGGGATGTGTATGTGTGTTTTAGCCCACAATCATGGGGAAAGGCTCCCTCTGCTCAGAATTATAACCTCCCCGTACATTCCAGCAGCAGTTTTTACATAACACTGAACTTGTCCCCCATATACAACAAAGAGCAACACAGCAGGGAAATCTTTAGTAGGAGTAGCCTTTCTTGCAGAATGGAGAATTGTAGATACAAAAATTACATTTTCTCAAGTTCAGCCAGCTATTCAGGTAAAGGTAAAGGTAAAGGTTCCCCTTGACATTTTAGTCAGTCATGTCCGACTCTAGGGGGCGGTGCTCATCCCCGTTTCCAAGCCGTGGAGCCAGCGTTTGTCCGAAGACAGTTTCCATTGTCACATGGCCAGCGCGACTTAGTCGGAATGCTGTTTACCTTCCCACCGAGATGGTACCTATTTATCTACTCACATTTACATGCTTTCGAACTGCTAGGTTGGCGAGGAGCTGGGACAAAGCGACGGGAGCTCACTCCGTCGCGTGATTCGATCTTACGACTGCTAGTCTTCTGACCCTGCAGCACACAAAGGCTTCTGCGGTTTAGCCCGCAGCGCCACCACGTCCTATTCAGGTAGTAAATGATAAAGAGTCCCTTTCTAGTGGCTTCTTCTTAGCTCTCTAATAGTTTAAACTCATACATGTCCACTCAGAAGTAATCCATTCATTTTGGCTGAGTTGCTTGCTAAATTGGTAGAGAATTGCTTCCTAGTAACCTTTTAAGAAAAATAACTATGATTTTGTTAGCTTTTTACTCTCTATACTTGTTTCCCCATTTCAGGTGCTTTGCTCTAATGTTTTCAGGCCACCACAGCCAGCATCTCAATAAAACAGCCCTTATTTCGTAGTTGATTTTGAAATGAACTTGGAGATAATTTAAGGTTTGTTAGGGAGCCTAACAAAGAGTCATTCAAACAGGAGAGGATGATGCCACTGGGCTTAGTGTTCCAAAATAATTTCCTTTTCAAACAGCTGGTTTCCAGATGTTTTCTAAGAGGAACACAATCGGTTTCCTAAGCACTATGCCATTCTTCAATCAAAAGTATTGCATGCAGATTCCCCTCTCAATTTTTAAAAAGCATGTTAAGCAAAACCATAATTAAATGGGAAATTTGTTAAACAGAAGCTTTAAAAATTTAGCCAGTGCTGGTCCTCCGGGTACTGTAGAGATGGAAAAGAAAAAGGGAGTGGAGATACTTTGGCTAAATGAAATCTGAAGGGAACAGACAGTGTAGATAAAGGCATAGACATAGAATGGTAAATTGACATTGGATGGGCCAGAAAAAGAGAGATCATAGTAATCCAGAAAAGCTTTAGGAGGAAATTGGGAAGCAAGAAAGGGAAAGAAACTGCCCCCAAATAAATTCTTTTTCTTTTCATACAAATTAGGGAGCAGAGCAAATGGAATCTACTTCAGACTGCTCTTTATATTTTTCACTCTTTATTAAATATGTGGAATTGATTGAGGGGTTTAAAATTAAGGAGGGAATTGGTAATCAGAAATCTTTATACAAATTATTACAATACTGTAGTTCCTGCTGGTACATTACATTCTGTCCATCATTTTGTTACATTCTGCCTTTATAATAGGAAGAACTTCTTACATTGTGGGCACATACATTTTTACATTTTATCTGCCACATCCTTACTCAAATATCATGGAAAAGTTTGCTCTCCAAATTCTGGAAACAATACTCTATGCCTGACATACTCCAGATGTATTGGACAACAACTCCCATCATTTTCATTCAACATCATGAAATTAATATCTGGAGATCAGCAAGTTGAGGAAAGTTATTCTATCTTCCCCTTCTTGGAGGACCAACAAAAGCTCAAATCAATCTCAAGCAATCAGTATATTGAAGACATTTATTTATATGATCTGTGATTTTTTTTTCATGTATATATTGGATTTATCAAGGCTAGCTCAAAACTGTGAAAGAAATTGGATTTATCAAGGCTAGCTCAAAACTGAAAGAAGAAAGAGAATGTTTAAGCAAAGTGAAGTAGAGTGGAATAGGACATTCTCAGTCGGATACTTAGAAACTATTCTACTCTGGAAATGATAAACTCAGATGAAATAGTCTGTCTCTAATAGTAAAGCAAGAGTTACCAAAAAAACAAACAAACAACTGAAGCAGATAATGCCTATCAGAATTAATTGGTGGATAGTCAGCATAAAATCATTCAAGCTAACAGGTGCTGAAAATTTATGCAAGCATCCAGGAGGATGCCAAAAGAGGATATGTTAACAATCATAGGCACCTGGAATGAAGAAGTAAGATGTAAAGAGGAATCTAATATTGTTGAAAAAAATTTCTTGGGAGTCAGAAACAAAGCAAGAGAGTGACTCATAGGGTTCTGTGAAACCAACAAGTTGGCAAATGCATGCTTCAGGCAACCTAACAGACAGATGGCCAATATAGAAATCAAGTAGACATAAACTGGAAGCAGAAGATGGAGTAGTGTCATTTTTTTCTGAAATGAAGAAGACCAAGAACAGACTGTGATACAAAACAATTTTTGTTAATATTAAAAATTAGAATAAAGTTGAGGAAATTTAAAGAAATCATAGTTACAAATACAATATAAATAACATTCCTAAAGGATTTATGGACCATATAAAGAGAAAGCTTGTATTACTAAATTCAACTGAATATGTACCAAAAGGATTGAAGACTGAAAGCAGATATTACCAGGGAAAAATGCAAACGGACCATTCCTGTAGTCAAAAGAAAAGAAAAGCCTGATAAAATGCTTTAAATTGTTAGAAATATAGGAAAATCAAAACTCAAAGCTGACAGAAATAGAGTCAGAATTAAAACTGCAATTTTTCAGCAGTTTATCTGGAAGTTGAATCATGGCAACTGGACTTTTTCTTATTCGGTTGAAACGCTTTGCTACTTCTCCAAATAGGTTCTTCAGTCTGTGGAGAGTTGGTAGGAGATCCCTGATATATCCTCCATGTGGGTTTCATTTTCCCCTGGAAAATAAGCTCGTTAGAAGGACAAAGAACTGGGAGTGAGTGAAAATCCCCCTTCTGCTGTCCTTCTTCACCCATTGTTATGGGTTGTTAATGGTCCTGATCTTTCTGGGGAGAGATGAAAGGCCAGCATGATAAATAGGAGACAGATTGTATCTAAGGCCTCCACCTCTGTTGAGTGAGGGATTTTCTATATGCACATACAGTAGTGCCTCACTTGATGATGTTAATTCGTTCCAGTGAAATCGCTGTAGAGTGAAAACATCGTCAAACGAAATAAAAAAACCCATTGAAACGCATTGAAAACCATTCAATGCGTTCCAATGGGCTGAATACCTGCTCGTCCAG